TTCCGTGGTTTGGGTAATTGCTATATACATGCAATGACTGGGGCATTGAAACTTTAGATTTTGTTATCCATGGCTGTATGTATCCATTTGTTTCAAGAACAATGAACTATTCATTGTGGGAATGTTTCCTAGGGATGCAAAGCAGGTTTGTGTTAGACCACGATAAATTAATTATTGGGTATTCAGGGTTGTACGCTATGCACAAATGTTTAGAATGAATGCAGAGAGAAAAATATACTGCATCCTGAAGGAGGCATGGTTTATTCTCCCTGCAGTGTTTTATTGTAGAATAAACAATGACCACAAGTCGTTTATTTCTTATGATATATCAAAATTATGGACAGGCTCTTTAAAGCTTTTAATAATGTTAATAAAAAGTTTTAAAATATGCACCCATATTTAAATATTGACTCCCTGAATACAATCCAACCTTAGCAATGTCAGACAAGTCCATTTTATGAACAGTGGGTGTAAGCTTGGTATTTCCTGGATATTCTCACAATCTTCACATCAAATATCTGTATGTTTTCCCCTGTACCGATTGTCATATCTCTTCCACTTCTGGATGTAATCGTTCCGCCATTGCGTTTATCTACCTTGCCCAGCTCCTTCTACAGGGAGCAACTCACTAGACACTTCACACTCAAAAATAATATCTTCCATTTTATGACATCACCAAGTTGTGAGTCGAATATCCAGAAATGACTTCATAATAGAACAATGTTTTATCGTGAAATAAACCTCACTTTGTTTTTCATTGTTCTTTTTGATTTATCACATACAGCTATCTTATATATCATAATAGCATAGAGATATGATATCCTGGACAATCGAGGAATCACAGGCTACAACTCTGGAAGTATATGCTCCGTATTTCTCCCTTGAATATGAGTGAGTGAGTGAGTATGGTTTTACACCCCTTTTAGCAATATTCCAGCAATATCACGGCAGGGGTCACCAGAAATGGGCTTCACACATTGTACCCATGTACATACCCATAATTTTTGTTTGTTGTTTAACACCGCACTCAGCAATATTACAGCTATATGATGATCTGTTAATAATGGAGTCATGACAAGAAAATCCAGTGACTGATATAATGAGCATCAATCCACACAATTGGGTCAAAATATTTGATTTTAGTGGAAACTGACACAGTGAGTATTGTATTGTGACAAGGATGCCCTGTAAGTACACTATAGTATAAATAACAAATTAGCCCCATAAAGAATTTGCAGAGAATTGACTGTCATTCAGAATATATAATTTAGTTTTCCTTAAGCTTGATGCCCTCATATTAGATTGGCTGTAATCCAATGACTGCTGAGATTGTTAGACTAATGGGACAGGACTCACTCACTCTGTGCAAAAACTGTATCTAGTGATAGATGGCACTGATCATCCATCTTGTCTCGCAGCTTGAGGTGCAGCGATGATGACACCAAACTTATGCTGAGTCTGCCCGAGTCAGGATGCAGTCGTCCCCAAGCTGTCTCAGTGGTGATACAGTTGGCTATCAGATATCAGCAGTGAGATGGGTGAATGTCAGAGGGGGTGTAGAGGTGGATACCGACTCCTCAGCCACTTTGTCCAACCTGTTACAGTGTCTGCACATCTCACACCTGCTTTGTAATACAGCTGGAATATTGCTGACTGCGGTGTTGTATAACAAACTCAACTTGGTATCTCCCACCTGCACTTGAATGAACCTGGTTCTACTGGACTGGGATGAACCTAGCCGAGGAACAGTGCATCTCCCACTGGACTGGGATGAACCTAGCTATAGAACAGAGCATCTCCAAATGGACTGGGATGAACCTAGCTATAGAACAGAGCATCTCCCACTGGACTGGAATGTACGTGGATCTAGAACAGAGCATCTCCCACTGGACTGGGATGAACCTAGCTGTAGAACAGAGCATCTCCCACTGGACTGGAATGTACCTGGATCTAGAACAGGGCATCTCCCACTGGACTGGGATGAACCTAGCTCCAGAACAGAGCATCTCCCACTGGACTGGGATGTACCTGGATCTAGAACAGGGCATCTCCCACTGGACTGGGATGAACCTGGATCTAGAACAGGGCATCTCCCACTGGACTGGGATGAACCTAGCTATAGAACAGAGCATCTCCCACTGGACTGGGATGTACCTGGATCTAGAACAGGGCATCTCCCACTGGACTGGGATGAACCTGGATCTAGAACAGGGCATCTCCCACTGGACTGGGATGAACCTAGCTCAAAAACAGGGCATCTCCCACTGGACTGGGATGAACCTAGCTGTAGAACAGGGCATCTCCCACTGGACTGGGATGAACCTAGCTGTAGAACAGGGCATCTCCCACTGGACTGGGATGAAACAAGCTGTAGAACAGGGCATGGACTGGGATGAACCTAGCTGTAGAACAGGGCATCTCCCACTGGCCTGCGATGAACCTAGCTGTAGAACAGGGCATGGACTGGGATGAACCTAGCTCAAGAACAGGGCATCTCCCACTGGACTGGGATGAAACAAGCTGTAGAACAGGGCATCTCCCACTGGACTGGGATGAACCTAGCTGTAGAACAGGGCATCTCCCACTGGACTGGGATGAACCTAGCTGTAGAACAGGGCATCTCCCACTGGACTGGGATGAACCTAGCTGTAGAACAGGGCATCTCCCACTGGACTGGGATGAACCTAGCTCAAGAACAGGGCATCTCCCACTGGACTGGGTTGTACCAAGCTCTAAAACGAGGCATCTCCCTTCTTGCCTGGGATGAACAAAGCTCTAGAACAGAGCATGCACTACGATGATCCAAGCTCCAGAACTGGGCATGGACTGGGATGACCCTAGCTGTAGAACAGGGCATGGACTGGGGTGAACTTAGCTGTAGAACAGGGCATGGACTGGGGTGAACCTAGCTGTAGAACAGGGCATGGACTGGGGTGAACCTAGCTGTAGAACAGGGCATCTGCCTTCTGGACTGCGGTGAGCCTAGCTGTAGAACAACATTTCTCCCACCTGGACTGTATGAAGGTTTGGGAATGATCTTAGCTGGGTATCATACACCTGGACCATATGCAGAGTGGTAGGTCGTGGAGGATGGACAAGTACTATCCATGCTATGCATCATTACGTAACTATCCATGTTGTCCTCGTGTTATCATCCAATTTGTTTTCACTCAGACCTTCAGACCTTTTGGCAGTCAACTTTATGTAAGAGGCAGAACATGTCACCAGTTCTAACCTTGAATCCCAAGTCGGATTAGAAAATGAATGAGAAAAACACACTGAATGACCTATGAGACCCCTACGAGTCTCATGATATATTTGGGGGCACAGGTGGCCTACAAACCTGATGTGCAGGTAGGGAGTTATGACATTCCTACACTGGTACATACTGTTGGATCATTCTGGCATTGTCAAACAGTTTGATAATTATCATCATATGACAATTCATCAATAATGATACTGTTTCCATACAACAATTCAGAAGTACAATGAGTGTTCAGGAGAATGTCTTAGAATTCCCAAAGCTGATGACTGATCTGGTCTAGTCACACATTGTTGTAACTTTACGCCATTGTAAAACAGTCACAATAAGTTGATTGCAGATTTACACAAAGAGTCTGCAGATGAAGGGGCAGTAAGAGCAAAGAGTGACACGACCTTCAGGTAGCCGAGGAGGGAGCTCAATCCTAGCTAGAGCCCTCCATCACCGTATTTTATGATGATATAAGTGCTTGTGTGATTTATCAAAGTCAACAGCAGTTCGAAATTAGTTGTGTAACGGCTTTAGTATGGCCTCACAGATATAAATGTCATCATCGTCATCAGTTGAAAAGCTTTGTGTTGCAAGAGCATTCCATGTAGTCTAGACTCTTTGTTATAGCAGGAGGGGTGTATATGCTGAGTGGTTATTTGAAAAAAAGCAGAGATAAAACTGAAAACCATTATTGCCATTGGGGATTAGGGAAGGGGGAGGTATCCTGTGCCTGTGGGTGGTATCCTCCAGATCTGTAATCAAATATACCACATATAGGTTACCTCTTTTGCTGTTTCCATGTTGAATCTGAACTTTAAACATGGAGGCAACAAATTGTCATGTCTGGGTTGAATTTTTTTGTCAGAGATACCAACGATTTTTCAAATATATTGTGGCACTTCATTCATCTTTGAGACAGGGAATCATGTGTCAGTCTGTATTTTTTGGGGTGGTTGTGAAATTAATGTGTTCAATGGCATCACACAGCATCTGAGTTTGATTTCCAACATGGGTCCATTCTTACAGTCTTGCGCCCTGTTCCACAAAGTGATTGTCCTATGTGATTGTAACTGCCACACTTTAACATAGTCTACCCACCCGCCCAGCTTGAGCAAATAATAGACTATCAATTGCATTGTAGTGTCCATATTCATATTAATCATGTGAAATCTCTACTTATTATAAAAGATTAATATGTATGTTCAGGTGTAACAACTTTAAACTTGCAGTTGAAACTGGAAGACATTCTAAAAACCCATATGAAGAAAGTGTGTGCGTGTATTGCCACTCCAAAGGTTTAACTCTAATTGAGGATGGGTATCATGTATTGTCAATCTGTGACAGATACCGAGCTGCAAGAAGAGAATGCTTTGCTGAAAGTGAAATCAACTTTACTACATTTCAACAGTTTTGAAACCTTATGTCAACAAACTCCACAAGAACTTTAAAACACATTGGACTATTCCTATCTAAAGTTATGAATATACGTAACTCATCACTGTTCTAACGTATTCTAAAACTATTTGTCTTAACATAACGCCATAGTATATAAGCATGTATGATCTACATTATGTCAACATGTATTATGGGCTGGAGGCCTGATTACTGAATAAATCTGTCTGTCTGTCTGTCTGTCTGTCTGTCTGTCTATTCATATTAACATTTAGTCAAATAAAAAATGCATTTCAAGCTGTCTTGTACATACAGATGCAAGTTGTTGGGAATTAAAGTCAAATTTTCTTTGCAGAAAGGAATTATACGTACAGCTGAGGAAGACTATATTATCGAACCTATCGAGCATCACATTGTTCTTGACCTTGACCTTGACAATACAATTGGCAAGCCACACAAGCTGTACCGAAGGTCGACATTAACAAGGCATCAACAGATGTTTGAATCCCAGAAATACTCTGGTAAGAATGCATTCAATAACTTCACTTCTAAATCTACAGTACAATTTATCTTTCACACTTACAGCTGAAAATATCTTGATTTTTCTGACAACAGGTTTCAAGGAATTCCTTTTGTTTTTGAAACAAGAACCATCTGTTGGAATTTGTCCTGTCCAACATTCAGCTGTGTAAATGGAAAGCAATGTATTAACCTGTTTCAAGTGTGATGTAAGAGGAAATCAAACATTAGTTTGAAGAAGGGCCCACCATAGGGCAAAATATGAAACTTCATAATACAGAAGAAATCCAGCTTGTTCAAAATGTTTATGTTGCTTTTTCTTTCCTTAACATGGTTGTTTTTTTTATCACAAGAACAAATGAGCATTAGTGTGTCATAACAATGGTTGCTGTGTACATTATGGCTAAGTGCAGTGTTGAATAACAAAGAAACAGCATGGATATATGAGGAGTGAATGAGTGTTGTTTTATTATAATATCCACTAACTCCTTGGTCTTGTGAACAAAGCTTCTGTGGGGAGAACAGAAGGTCGGTGGCCATGGCATTCGAAAAGCGGTTAAGAGATGGTACTTGTTGTTATCTTGCCTGACTGGTTGGCTTGGGGTCAGTACACTGTGTCTGAGTGGCCAAGCATGAACCTGGTCTGTAGCCACCCATCCCACTGTAGGACAGACATGAACCTCACTAAGTCTGAACCATCCTTCCCACTGTAGGACAGACATGAACCTCACTAAGTCTGTAGCCATCCTTCCCACTGTAGGACAGACATGAACCTCACTAAGTCTGTAGCCATCCTTCCCACTGTAGGACAGACATGGACCTCACTAAGTCTGTAGCCATCCTTCCCACTGTAGGACAGACATGAACCTCACTAAGTCTGTAGCCATCCATCCCACTGTAGTCAGACATGGACCTAACTAAGTCTGTAGCCATCCTTCCCACTGTAGGACAGACATGAACCTCACTCAGTCTGTAGCCGTCCTTCCCACTGTAGGACAGACATGGACCTCACTTAGTCTGTAGTCATCCTTCCTACTGTAGGGCAGACATGGACCTCACTTAGTCTGTAGCCATCCATCCCACTGTAGGACAGACATGGACCTCACTTAGTCTGTAGCCATCCATCCCACTGTAGGACAGACATGAACCTCTCTTAGTCTGTAGTCATCCTTCCCACTGTAGGACAGACATGAACCTAGTCTGTAGCCATCCATCCCACTGTAGGACAGACATGGACCTCACTATGTCTGTAGTCATCCATCCCACTGTAGGACAGACATGGACCTCACTAAGTCTGTAGTCATCCATCCCACTGTAGGACAGACATGGACCTCACTAAGTCTGTAGTCATCCATCCCACTGTAGGACAGACATAAACCTCACTCAGTCTGTAGCCATCCATCCCACTGTAGGACAGACATGAACCTCACTAAGTCTGTAGCCATGCATCCTTCCTACTGTAGGACAGACATGAACCTAGTCTGTAGCCATCCATCCCACTGTAGGATAGACATGGACTTCACTAAGTCTGTAGCCATCCATCCCACTGTAGGACAGACATGAACCTCACTAAGTCTGTAGCCATCCTTCCCACTGTAGGACAGACATGGACCTCACTCAGTCTGTAGCCATCCATCCCACTGTAGGACAGACATGAACCTAGTCTGTAGCCATCCATCCCACTGTAGGATAGACATGGACTTCACTAAGTCTGTAGCCATCCTTCCCACTGTAGGACAGACATGAACCTAGTATGTAGCCATCCATCCCACTGTAGGACAGACATGAACCTCACTAAGTCTGTAGCCATCCATCCCACTGTAGGACAGACATGGACCTCACTAAGTCTGTAGCCATCCATCCCACTGTAGTCAGACATGGACCTCACTAAGTCTGTAGCCATCCATCCCAATGTAAGACAGACATGAACCTCACTAAGTCTGTAGCCATCCATCCCACTGTAGGACAGACATGGACCTCACTAAGTCTGTAGCCATCCATCCCACTGTAGTCAGACATGGACCTCACTAAGTCTGTAGCCATCCTTCCCACTGTAGGACAGACATGAACCTCACTAAGTCTGTAGCCATCCATCCCAATGTAGGACAGACATGAACCTCACTAAGTCTGTAGCCATCCATCCCACTATAGGACAGACATGGACCTCACTAAGTCTGTAGCCATCCATCCCACTGTAGTCAGACATGAACCTCACTAAGTCTGTAGCCATCCATCCCACTGTAGGACAGACATGAACCTCACTACGTCTGTAGCCATCCATCCCACTGTAGTCAGACATGGACCTAACTAAGTCTGTAGCCATCCATCCCACTGTAGTCAGACATGAACCTCACTAAGTCTGTAGCCATCCATCCCACTGTAGGACAGACATGAACCTCACTAAGTCTGTAGCCATCCATCCCACTGTAGGACAGACATGAAACTCACTCAGTCTGTAGCCATCCATCCCACTGTAGTCAGACATGGACCTAACTAAGTCTGTAGCCATCCATCCCACTGTAGGACAGACATGGACCTCACTACGTCTGTAGCCATCCATCCCACTGTAGGACAGACATGAACCTCACTAAGTCTGTAGCCATCCATCCCACTGTAGGACAGACATGAACCTCACTAAGTCTGTAGCCATCCATCCCACTGTAGGACAGACATGGACCTCACTCAGTCTGTAGCCATTCATCCCACTGTAGGACAGACATGAACCTAGTCTGTAGCCATTCATCCCACTGTAGGACAGACATGAACCTCACTAAGTCTGTAGCCATCCATCCCACTGTAGGACAGACATGAACCTCACTCAGTCTGTAGCCATCCATCCCACTGTAGGACAGACATGGACCTCACTCAGTCTGTAGCCATTCATCCCACTGTAGGACAGACATGAACCTAGTCTGTAGCCATCCATCCCACTGTAGGACAGACATGAACCTCACTAAGTCTGTAGCCATTCATCCCACTGTAGGACAGACATGAACCTCACTCAGTCTGTAGTCATCCATCCCACTGTAGGACAGAGATGGACCTCACTAAGTCTGTAGTCATCCTTCCTACTGTAGGACAGACATGACCCTTACTAAGTCTGTAGTCATCCTTCCTACTGTAGGATAGACATGAACCTCACTAAGTCTGTAGCCATCCATCCCACTGTAGGACAGACATGAACCTCACTCAGTCTGTAGTCATCCATCCCACTGTAGGACAGACATGAACCTCACTAAGTCTGTAGCCATCCATCCCACTGTAGGACAGACATGGACCTCACTCAGTCTGTAGTCATCCTTCCTACTGTAGGACAGAAATGGACCTCACTCAGTCTGTAGTCATCCTTCCTACTGTAGGACAGAAATGGACCTCACTCAGTCTGTAGCCATTCATCCAACTGTAGGACAGAGATGGACCTCACTAAGTCTGTAGTCATCCTTCCTACTGTAGGACAGACATGAACCTCACTCAGTCTGTAGTCATCCATCCCACTGTAGGACAGACATGGACGTCACTAAGTCTGTAGCCATGCATCCTTCCCACTGTAGGACAGACATGAACCTAGTCTGTAGCCATCCATCCCACTGTAGGACAGACATGAACCTCACTAAGTCTGTAGTCATCCTTCCCACTGTAGGACAGACATGAACCTCACTCAGTCAGTAGCCACCCTTCCCACTGTAGGACAGACATGAACCTCACTACGTCTGTAGTCATCCTTCCCACTGTAGGATAGACATGAACCTCACTAAGTCTGTAGCCATCCTTCCCACTGTAGGACAGACATGAACCTCACTCAGTATGTAGCCATCCAAGGATAGCAAAGATATTGATAAACAGTGTTTACACAAAAACATCAAATATTTAGTTTCCACATTGCCATAACACTTTGCATGGCAGGTTCCATTAAGTGACTTTAGTGTTCAACTGGCAATACCAAATATTTTTATTTTGTACATCTGGCCTGGCATTTTCAACCAAGTTCAATAGGTTCAAGAAAACAAACATATAATTACAACTAACAAGGTAAATTGGGCAGACAAGAGACAGCTTGATCTGCCTGCCACCCAGGCTGCTGTGAGGTTGAAAGAGAAATTGTGACGTGGCAGGTGCCATACTTGTTATGGTTTTCATCCTCCACATTTGTGGTGATGAAGGAAAGTAGAACAGTTAGTAGGTGTTGGAGATTAGCTTTGTCAGGTCAGGGCAGGTCTTCAGGAATTCATCCTGGAAGGTGATGATCCACATCTGCTGGTGTTTGGCCACCTTGTCCCAGTTTCCAAGTAATGTTTTGTGATGGAAGCAGATTGAGTCTAGTGTCTTATACTTATCCATCCAGTACTTTCTGTTCAGTGTAGTAGACACTGCCACCACGACCCAGACATCCCCACAAACAGCTCAACCATCACCTAAACACAATCACAAACACCCCCACAACACCACTACCTAGACAACCCCACAAACACCACTACCCAGACACCCCCACAAACACCACCACCACAAACACCCACATACAATCCCAAACAACCCCGCAAACACTGCTACCACCACTTAAACACAATTGCAGCCACCATCCCCTAAACACAAACACCGCCACCACCACCTAAACACAATCCCAGCCACCATCCCCTTAACATAAACACCACCACCACCACCTAAACACAATCCCATCCACCACCACCCAAATACAATCCCAACCACACCCACAAACACCGCCACCACCACCCAAAGACAATCCCAGCCACCACCACCTAAGCACAATCCCAAACAGCCCACAAACTCCACCACCCTAACACTATCACAAACACCCCAACCAACACCACACCCCCACCCAAACACAATCCCAAACACCCCCACAAACACAGCCACCACCCAAACACCCCCACAAACATCCCCCCAAAACAGCCCCACCCAGTCACAATTGCAAACAACCCCACCGCCACCACACAAATAAAATCCCAAACACCACCACCTCCACCCCAAACAACAACAGCAACCACCAGTCCAAACACCTCCACAATTTGTTTTATACACTGACTTATTAGAGTTAATTTGTTTCTCTTTTGAGGTAGCATTTACCCAAGCATTCCAGGATGACATTTATGGACGATGGCGCCGTGCCAGTAGGAAGCAATGGCCACAAACCCAAGCAGTCATGGAAAGAACAGTGGAGATGTTGGTTGTTGTGGATAAAACAATGTTCCATAACCATGGTGACAAGAATATAACAACGTACACACTCACCCTGTTTAATATGGTAAGTCTTAAGATCAAGACAGCAAGGTTATAATTGTGGAATATGAAAAGAAACCCACCATCAAGTTATACCCTAAAGAAATAATTGTATATGCCTCACCCAGTCAGCTGGAGTTGTACAGAGTTGTTTGGGGATATTTCTGGCATATACTGGACATATACTGAATACATGTATATACTGAACATTTACTGGGTTGTACTGAGCATGTTCTAGACCTATACTGAGTCTATTCTGGACATACATGTATACTGAGTGTATTCTGGACATATACCAAGTGTATTCTGGACGCATACTGAGTGTATTCTAGACATATACTGAGTGTATTCTAGACAAATATACTGAGTGTATTCTGGACATATACCAAGTGTATTCTGGACATATACTGAGTGTATTCTGTAGATATACCAAGTGTATTCTGGACATATACTGAGTGTATTCTGGACATATACTGAGTGTATTCTGGACATAAACCAAGTGTATTCTGGACATATACTGAGTGTATTCTGGACATATACCAGGTGTATTCTGGACATATACCAAGTGTATTCTGGACATATACTGAGTGTATTCTAGACAAATATACTGAGTGTATTCTGGACATATACTGAGTGTATTCTGTAGATATACCAAGTGTATTCTGGACATATACTGAGTGTATTCTGGACATATACTGAGTGTATTCTGGACATAAACCAAGTGTATTCTGGACATATACTGAGTGTATTCTGGACATATACCAGGTGTATTCTGGACATATACCAAGTGTATTCTGGACATATACTGAGTGTATTCTAGACAAATATACTGAGTGTATTCTGGACATATACTGAGTTTATTCTGGACATATACTGAGTGTATTCTGGACATATACCAGGTGTATTCTGGACATATATACTGAGTGTATTCTGGACATATACTGGGTGTATTCTGGACATATACCAAGTGTATTCTGGAAATATACTGAGTGTATTCTGGACATATACTGAGTGTATTCTGGACATATACCAAGTGTATTCTGGACATATACCAGGTGTATTCTGGACATATTTACTGAGTGTATTCTGGACATATACTTAGTGTATTCTAGACATATACTGAGTGTATTCTGGACCTATACTTAGTGTATTCTGGACATATATACTGAGTGTATTCTGGACATATACCAGGTGTAATCTGGACATATACCAGGTGTATTCTGGACATTTATACTGAGTGTATTCTGGACATATATACTGAGTGTATTCTAGACATATACCGAGTGTATTCTGGACATATACCAGGTGTATTCTGGACATATATACTGAGTGTATTCTGGACATATATACTGAGTGTATTCTAGACATATATACTGAGTGTATTCTGGACATATACTGGGTGTATTCTTGACATATACTGGGTGTATTCTAGACATGTATACTGAGTGTATTCTGGACATATATACTGAGTGTATTCTAGACATGTATACTGAGTGTATTCTGGACATATATACTGAGTGTATTCTGGACATATACTGGGTGTATTCTAGACATATATACTGAGTGTATTCTGGACATATCCTGGGTGTATTCTAGACATATATACTGAGTGTATTCTGGACATATACTGGGTGTATTCTAGACATATATACTGAGTGTATTCTGGACATATACTGGGTGTATTCTGGACATATACTGAGTGTATTCTGGACATATATACCGAGTGTATTCTGGACATATACTGAGTGTATTCTAGACATATATAGTGAGTGTATTCTAGACATGTATAATGAGTGTATTCTAGACATGTAAACTGAGTGTATTCTGGACATATACTGAGTGTATTCTAGACATATATACTGAGTGTATTCTAGACATGTATACTGAGTGTATTCTGGACATATATACTGAGTGTATTCTGGACATATACTGAGTGTATTCTGGATATATACTGAGTGTATTCTAGACATATATACTGAGTGTATTCTGGACATATATACTGTATACTGAGTGTATTCTGGACATATATACTGAGTGTATTCTGGACATATATACTGAGTGTATTCTAGACATATATACTGAGTGTATTCTCGACATATACTGGGTGTATTCTAGATATATATACTGAGTGTATTCTGGACATATACTGGGTGTATTCTAGACTTGTATACTGAGTGTATTCTAGACATATATACTGAGTGTATTCTGGACATATACTGGGTGTATTCTAGACATATATACTGATTCTATTCTAGACATATATACTGAGTGTATTCTGGACATATATACTGAGTGTATTCTAGACATATATACTGAGTGTATTCTGGACATATATACCGAGTGTATTCTTGACATATACTGGGTGTATTCTAGACATATATACTGATTCTATTCTAGACATATATACTGAGTGTATTCTGGACATATATACTGAGTGTATTCTAGACATGTATACTGAGTGTATTCTGGGCATATACTGAGTATATTCTAGACATATATACTGAGTGTATTCTAGACATATATTCAGTGTATTCTGGACATATACTGGGTGTATTCTAGACATATATACTGAGTGTATTCTGGACATATATACTGAGTGTATTCTGGACATATACTGGGTGTATTCTAGACATGTATACTGAGTGTATTCTGGACATATATACTGAGTGTATTCTGGACATATACTGAGTGTATTCTAGACATATATACTGAGTGTATTCTGGACATATACTGAGTGTATTCTGGACATGTATACTGAGTGTATTCTAGACATGTATACTGAGTGTATTCTGGACATATACTGAGAGTATTCTAGACATGTATACTGAGTGTATTCTGGACATTTACTGGGTGTATTATCGACATATATACTGAGTGTATTCTAGACATATATACTGAGTGTATTCTAGACATATATACTGAGTGTATTCTAGACATGTATACTGAGTGTATTCTGGACATATACTGTGTGTATTCTGGACATGTATACTGAGTGTATTCTAGACATGTATACTGAGTGTATTCTGGACATATACTGGGTGTATTCTAGGCATATATACTGAGTGTATTCTAGACATATATAGTGAGTGTATTCTAGACATGTATAATGAGTGTATTCTGGACATATACTGAGTGTATTCTGGACATATACTGAGTGTATTCTGGACATATATACTGAGTGTATTCTAGACATGTATACTGAGTGTATTCTGGACTTGTATACTGAGTGTATTCTGGACATATACTGGGTGTATTCTAGACATATATACTGAGTGTATTCTAGACATATATACTGAGTGTATTCTGGACATATATACTGAGTGTATTCTGGACATATATACTGATTGTATTCTAGACATATATACTGAGTGTATTCTAGACATATATACTGAGTGTATTCTAGACATATATACTGAGTGTATTCTAGACATGTATACTGAGTGTATTCTAGACATATATACTGAGTGTATTCTGGACATATATACTGAGTGTATTCTGGACATATATACTGATTGTATTCTAGACATATATACTGAGTGTATTCTAGACATATATACTGAGTGTATTCTAGACATATATACTGAGTGTATTCTAGACATGTATACTGAGTGTATTCTAGACATATATACTGAGTGTATTCTAGACATATATACTGAGTGTATTCTGGACATATACTGAGTGTATTCTAGACATATATACTGAGTGTATTCTAGACATATATACTGAGTGTATTTTAGACATTAGTGGTGTAACGATACGGCGATACAGTATTGTATCCCGATGCACAGCCCACGATAGGATGCATCGATTTGGAAAGCATGTATCGCGATACATACGATATTTTCATGACACAGTTTTACTTAATGAGTTTTGATGTTTTTCCCCCATGGAAAGACATTACTGTGCACGTAACACCGGAAATACCATGTCAACAAATCAATACTGAAGTTCGCAAATTATTCATGTAATTACACTCTCTGGCTATAAAAAGTGTTCTTTGTATATCTGGACTTATGTTTGTAACTTATTTCAATAATTTTATTCAAAATTCCTTTAATATTGTTTTTATTAATTTCGGCGAAATTGGGTGTGAAGCGATCGGAAGATCGCACAACTCACCGTTATTAACAGCAACCACGGTCAGATTACCGCTATTGACGCCTTGAAACGAACTTTAGTTGACAGAGAATGGATACATATATCATAAATGCCATACTTTGATTCGTTAAAAGTCATATTTGTTTTTGTTGGACGATTCTATGTCAACACGTAATTCTTGCGATCACGTGCACGGGAGCCTTGACGGAGACTGGTCAGACTGGTTCCATGTAAAAAATAATACCCGGCAATAGCGATCAGCTGCTTCGCTTAGGGTTATAATTATTTTAAATATGTTGAGTAAAAGCTGCATCTAAATTAACAAGATATTGGAATATATTATTCCTGATAAAAAAATAGTTTCAGATACAACTTTTGCCGATCCTTGCATTAAAATCCTGTAAAGTTATATCATTGGGTGTGTCTTGACCGAATCGCCGGTAGATTCCAAGAAAACGTGTGTACAGCTGATTGCTGTGTCCGGCTTAGTTTACGAGAAAATACACAAGGTAATCTTAATCCCTGGATAGAAAACAATGCCTAGCTGAACAAAAAATACAATTTAAACGGTAAATCAACATGTCTGGTGATTTTTTATCTCAAATTTCGAATTTGTACTGACGAAGTTTCTCATCACCCGTTCCTTTGCCGGACTTCGCTGAAGGGGTACGGTGTAATTTTTTTCTGCGCATAATATTCAAATTTCTTTTTTTTCCCCAAATATTGAAACCGCTAGAGGGGGTGCGCATTATACATAGGTGCGCACTATACTAACGAAAATACGGTACTTTTAAACATGAAATACGTTTAACAATTTCAAAGCCAGTTTGTTGTTTCAGTAAAACATACTGTATTGCTGACAATTTGCTATAACAGTAAATAAACACCTTATATGTTCTTCAACTGTACTTGTCAGATCTTTTAGAGAGCAGAAAGACATCAACTTGGCTTAGCTTGTACCAGTAAACACTGTATCGTGATACGTATCGTATCGCGACCCCTGTATCGCGATACGTATCGTATCGCGACCCTCCCGTATCGTTACACCTCTACTAGACATATATACTGAGTGTATTCTAGACATGTATACTGAGTGTATTCTGGACATATACTGAGTGTATTCTAGACATATATACTGAGTGTATTCTAGACATATATACTGAGTGTATTCTGGACATATACTGGGTGTATTCTGGACATATATACTGAGTGTATTCTGGACATATATACTGAGTGTATTCTGGACATATACTGGGTGTATTCTGGACATATATACTGAGTGTATTCTGGACATATACCAGGTGTATTCTGGACATATACTGAGTGTATTCTGGGCATATACTGAGTGTATTCTAGTCATATATACTGAGTGTATTCTAGACATATATACTGAGTGTATTCTAGACATGTATACTGAGTGTATTCTGGACATACTGAGTGTATTCTGGACATATACTGGGTGTATTCTGGACATATACTGAGTGTATTCTGGACATATATACTGAGTGTATTCTGGACATATACTGAGTGTATTCTAGACATATATACTGAGTGTATTCTAGACATATATACTGAGTGTATTCTGGACATATACTGGGTGTATTCTGGACATATATACTGAGTGTATTCTGGACATATATACTGAGTGTATTCTGGACATATACTGGGTGTATTCTGGACATATATACTGAGTGTATTCTGGACATATATACTGAGTGTATTCTGGACATGTATACTGGGTGTATTCTGGACATATATACTGAGTGTATTCTGGACATATACGAGGTGTATTCTGGATATTTACTGTGCATATACTGGACATTTTACTGGGTATATACGTCCACATGTAAACCATATTCGGTCAAACTACCGGACATTCCTCGATAATATATCAACAAGAAGGAAGCTGATAATTAGCAAAGAGCTCGGTCACTATGGGACTGTGTGATACCATGACTACTGAAAGGGCATGACACTTGGACTGAAGACATGTTATAAGACCACACCTTTCCTTTAGGTGTAGTAGAGCCTGGGATACAATCTGTGTTTGTCAAAAGAGGAAATACTTTCTTTCAAGGCTGGTTGTGATGATATAGATAATTCATTTATGTAGTTGTCAGATTATTTGCTATTTACTAGTACTGCCTGGAGTTGGGTGGGGATGAAAGAGAGGGAAATGACACAGTTTCTGTGTTTGAATTGAAATGAATGCTACCATTTAGCAATTTACAATGGTGCTTGTTTACTTATATAGTAGTACAATGAGGCAGTGACAAATGGCCGATGATGAATGTGGATGCCATCATTATGTGGGTCAGCAGAATATATGTTCAGATGGATAAACTATGAAACAGTTAAAACATCATGAAAGTAGTGAAAGTTTAGTAACAGGATTTATTTGTGAAATTCATGCATATTCATTAACCACACCACCCTTTGAGGCCAAAGGCGTGAATTTGCATGAATATAGCTTAAAGGTCACCTTCATGTTTCCTGAGAAAATCAAATCAGCAGAGTCTCTTATGTTTTTTAGAATACTGTAATTTAGAAAATGTTTGATTCCCTGCAGGTATCCAAGCTGTTTGAGGACCAGAGCTTGGGGAGCACCATCAACATTGTCCTGGTTGGTCTCATTCTACTGGAGGGAGATGAGGTAAGCTGACATGCAGGTTGGTCTCATTCTACTGGAGGGAGATGAGGTAAGCTGACATGCGGGTTGGTCTCATTCTACTTGAGGGAGATGAGGTAAGCTGACATGCAGGTTGGTCTCATTCTACTTGAGGGGGATGAAGTAAGCTGACATGCGGGTTGGTCACATTCTTATGGAGAGGGATCAGGTTAGTAGGCTGACATGCAGGTTGGTCTCATTCTACTGGAAGGGAAAGATGACATGTGGGTTGGTCTCATTCTACTGGAGGGGTGTATGGTAAGCAAACATCAGGTTATGATTATTGGTTGTGTACGTTGGGACGTTCTGGAAGGCGTTGTAGTATTCATGAACTGCTGTATACTGTAAATCATTACAGTAATTCAAGCATGAAATTAGTGTGAAAACGTGTTAATAAGGTGACACATTTTTGTCTTGACATACTTGAGTTGATTGTCACATCCTGGAAACAGTGGCATGCATCACCTGCCAGGGCACACAATAGACTCTGCTGTTTAGAGCTCGCCATTGTGTTTTTTTCTGGGCGCCTCGTCAAGCCTGGTCACTGTTTGTGCATGTTGACAAGCAGTTATGATGGAATGATGGTGTTTGGGTCTTGGCCATATTGTGAAATAATCCTGTAAGGAAGGCCAAATCTCTTCTGATCCATGTGATGAAAATGTCCTGTAAAGTAGCAAGTCAATGTGATGACATGCTACTCAAAAGAAGTAGAGGACTACCCGATTCTTGCATAATACTGTTGTAAATCAGTCTGGTAACATGCTTAAACATATGGAGAATCTCCCCTGAGTGTTTTGATTTTTATACTTTTATTGATGAGTATTGATATGTTTGAGACATGAGGGCGACATTCAATTTACCTTCTGGTCATTCTTCTGACTTGTTCACTTTGTAAACAGTAATAACCAGTGTCTTCAGTGTAAGAAGTACATCTAACCAGCTTCAGTGGCAGAGATGTGATGTCCTTTGATTATGACTTCTTGGTAACTGATGACGTTACAATGGTCTGCAAAGCATTGTGATGGATTACACTGCAGCAGTATTTCCAAGGATATATAACTTGTTCTCATTCTCATGTGGAAGCCAGTTTGGGGTGATGGAATGTGTAAATCATCAAGAACACATGTCTTCGTAGTGTTTTGATTTGCTAATGTGTATATCTCTGTTCATGACACTCCAGTAAAACTATCCCCAAGTTATCAAACACATGGGAAACTGCGAGATAGCTGAAGTCGCCAGTAAAATATACATTGAAGAAAGTTATCCAGATTGTGTGACATTAACATAAATAATGTTTTCTTTAACCTTTTCTGAAGTTTTGGAAAAAACCCTCATAGTGTTGTTATTACGTAGCCAGGTCTGGTTGTGAGCCACCATGCAGATCGAACACTCAACAGCTTCTGTACCTGGCAGTCCGTCCTCGTTGGCGCCAACGGTCGGCAGCATGACCATGCTATACTCCTCACCGGAATGGATCTCTGCTCCTATAAGAATGCACCCTGTGATACACTTGGTATGAATAAACAATTTGGTGTCCACTCCATTATATTACTGGATTCATATTGTAAACTGTCTTTTAGCATGTTATGGAACATAGATGGTTTCAACTGGAATAAAGGGGTGGTTGGGTAGGCTAGTGGTTACATTGTTGGTTCTTCAAGCTGAAGTCCATGTTTAAATCCCCACAATAGTACAATGGGTGAGGCCAATTTCTGCCATGATGTTGCCTGTACAATATAATAAGTGGCATAGAACCATACACACTCACTTACTCATCAGTAGTATAGTTTTATCACCCACCACAATGGCCAACATTTCCAACAAGACATGTGCTGCAGAACTGAGCTATTATTCAAATCATTGCCTTCAAACTATTCTTTGATAAGGCACTATAGGGTTTTTCTTTTTGCCTTTAATTTGGTTAATATTTTCACACTGGAAACAAGACTTACATAATCATATTTTGAGCAATGTAGATTTGTTACTTGTGTTAGAGGGAGTGTATGTTCAATATTTGTTGCTTATTTGGTATATCTGCCTTGTATGAAATTATAGGTAATCAGAACTGTTACACAGTAATGCATCATAACATTGGAGTAAGCAGACAAAGTAGTTTTGAATGACTTGAATTAAACTTGCAGAGTCTGCCAATTTCCCAGAACCTAGTTCCCTTTAGGCAAAAAAGTGCTGTTTATGAATGGTGGCTGTTGACATTTAGAAGCTATTTATTGCGTTATCATGAAAACTAATTTAAACAATATTGAAAAAAGGCAAGATTTATTCTGGAGTTGAACCAAAATGTTTTCGAAGATCTAAGAACTGAATTGTACCGGTTTCATTAATGAAATATCAAAGGTAGGGAGGGTAAGTTTTTGTTGTACTTCCACTGGTGCATAGCTCAGTGTTATTAAGCAGACCGTTCCATGCAGGCCTCAAATGCCAAGTTTGTTTTGATTACTAAAAGCCGTCTGGTTTCTCAATGTTGTTCCTATGCATTGAGAACATTTTCTCTTTGTACAGTTGTAAGCTAACATTGATGGTGGGTGATATATATTTCTGTATAAAGCTTAGTACCCAGGCAGTAGTCTCTTTCCTGATTAAAATAATGAATTTGTGACCTTTAAACACTCATCTCCACTTATAAGAACAACAGGAGTGAAATGTGATCACAAAAAGTGTGCACCCTTCACACATCTATCATGTACTTCAACAACAACCGGGGACATTGGTGGCCCAGTCATCTAAAGCGCTGCAATTTGCTGTGCAGAGTTGCATCATTGGGCATGCCAGGGACTATGAATTCATGGGTGAGAATCCCGGTTCACCCTGATAATGTGTCGAGGTTTGTTAGCATCATACCCGTGCTTGTGGTAAATGTCTAGGACCTGCACCACTTCGGGCTTTCCTCTCCCATCAAGCAGACGTCATGCTGTAATGTAACTGGAACACTGTTAAAAAGCAGCAATAAGTGCAACATCACTGGCTCAATCACACTATTGCAGGATGCTTTCACATAGATGTTTTGTCATAAACATACATTTCATTATTTTTGTCAGAACTTTTGATCTGTGATCTAACCAGAGCAGGGCCTAACCATCATCTAACAGACAGCAGATGATGACTAAACATACTTAGACAATCTTAAGTGACTTGAATCTTACTGTTTAACAGGAGTTGTTTGTTGCTTCAGTATTTCTCACAATCAGTATGTAATGGTACAGAAGTAATACAGAAGTATTGAGAGTTATCCCCCTTGTGTTCAGGTTTTGCTCCCATAGAGGGCATGTGTAACCGAATCCGAAGCTGCACCATCAATGAGGACACAGGACTGGCCACCGCGCTCACCATTGCGCACGAGATGGGACATAAGTAAGTACAGCTAGCCAAGAATGACCTGGCAGTGAGTTGTGAATGTGGAAAAGTATTACAGCTGTATATCACCATGGACACTAACTATTTAGGGTCCATGATATCACTGCATGCAGTCCATAAGTAATGGAGTCTGGACAAGACAATCCAGTAGTTGATTGTTGTTTATCTCCTGTTATCTCTAAAATTTTAATTTCTTTCTTTTTGAATTTTTTTCATCTAGAAATAACATTGCATTTTTGTGCGTTGCAGCTTTGGGATGTACCATGATGGCGAGGGGAACTACTGCACACACAGTGCTGGGTCTATCATGGCTCCTACCCTCATGGGGAAAGATGGTCTCTTCCAGTGGTCAGTGTGCAGCAGAGACTACCTCACAAAGTTCCTCAAGTAAGTCGGTCAACTGTGGGTTCATACACCACGGAACCACCTCCGTGGTCTTGTGGTAGAGCGTCCGCCCGGAGAGCGGAAGGTCAGGAGTTCGATCCCCGGCCGTGTCATACCAAAAGACGTTAAAAGATGGTACTTGTTGTTACCCTGTCAGGCGCTCGGCATTAAGGGGCTAAAACAAGAACTGTTCGGCTCGGAGTCAGTATACTGTGTCTGAGTGGGGTATTCATGTTTAACTGCGGCATGGTATCTCAGTGAGCTGGCACTATAAATCGGCATCAGTCTGAACTAGTGTAAGCAGCCACACACACATGTGCATGCACGTCGCCATATAAGTGCAATAATCTTGGACGCGACGTTAAACCCAATTTCACCTCACCTCACCTCATACACCACGGATAGGCTCCATGAGTCTGTGACCTCATCAAATGAATATTGGCTCCTTATACACACTGGACAAGAAAGTTTTAATTCCAAAACTTTCCATACTATCCAAACATATCCATGGAATACTGGAATATTGGAACACTCATAACTGAGGCCTACTTGCTTTGATAATCCAGGTTATCTCCCCTCAAAAAACAGACCAGATCTCTTATGGGGTTTCATCAAGCTGACACCTGATATAATTGAAATGTTGTTTACAGCGGTGTTAAACCCATCTCACTCACTCACTCCTCGTTACTCCCCAGCACCCCTCAAGCTGACTGCCTGGAGGACAAACCCAAGCATGTGGCCGAGCTGAAGTTCCCCACTAAGCTGCCTGGTGAGCTGTACAATGCTGATGTCCAGTGCAAGTGGCAGTTCGGCAGCAAGGCCAAGCTTTGTACATATGACTTTGGGAAGGTGAGAATCTTTACTGACAGAGCTGTTTGTGTAAATGTCATAGATGTTTGTGCTTTAATTATGTTTTATTCAGTTAGTTACTTGACAAGCGGACACACACATTCCAATTTAAAACTGCCATATGTTGTATCAGGTTTCCTCAGATTTGGGGATTGATGTTGGTTTAATATAGTTACAATATTATTATGAACAGTGTTGCAGTGAATTTCCCATTTTGGTGGAATATAAGTGTGATTAAAATAATAAATATCTTCTTCCTTCCAATTAAAATTTGATACTTTTTCTTCAGGACACATGTAAGGCATTGTGGTGTTACCGGGGCAACAAGCGATGTGAGACCAAGTTCCTGCCAGCAGCAGAAGGAACCTCTTGTGGTGCGGGTATGGTAGGTAGGCACAACTTGGTCACATTGGGGGAGAGCTGTAGGTTCGGGGTCAGTGAGTAGGCATAACTTGGTCACATTGGGGGAGAGCTGTAGGTTCGGGGTTAGTAAGTAGGCACAACTTGGGCACATTGGGGGAGAGCTGTAGGTTCGGGGTTAGTGAGTAGGCACAACTTGGGCACATTGGGGGAGAGCTGTAGGTTCGGGGTTAGTGAGTAGGCACAACTTGGTCACATTGGGGGAGAGCGTTGCTGGCACAACTTGGTCACATTGGGGGAGAGTGTATTAGGCACAACTTGGTCACATTGGGGAGATGGTATTAGGCACAACTTGGTCACATTGGGGGAGATGGTATTAGGCACAACCTGATCACATTTGGGGAGAGTGTAGCAGGCAACATGTGATCACATTGGGGGAGAGTGTATTAGGCACAATTTGGTCACATTGGGGGGAGAGTGTAGCAGGCAACATGTGATCACATTGGGGGAGAGTGTAGCAGGCAACATGTGATCACATTGGGGGAGAGTGTATTAGGCACAACTTGGTCACATTGGGGAGATAGTATTAGGCACAACTTGGTCACATTGGGGAGATGGTATTGGGCACAACTTGGTCACTTTGGGGGAGAGTGTATTAGGCACAACTTGGTCACATTGGGGAGATGATATTAGGCACAACTTGGTCACATTTTGGGAGATGGTATTAGGCAGAACCTGATCACATTGGGAGAGAGTGTAGCAGGCAACATGTGATCACATTGGGAGAGAGTGTATTAGGCACAACTTGGTCACATTGGGGGAGATGGTATTAGGCAGAACCTGATCACATTGGGGGAGAGTGTAGCAGGCAACATGTGATCACATTGGGGGAGAGTGTAGCAGGCAACATGTGATCACATTGGGAGAGAGTGTATTAGGCACAACTTGGTCACATTGGGGAGATGGTATTAGGCACAACATGGTCACATTGGGGGAGATTGTATTAGGCACAACTTGGTCACATTGGGGAGATAGTATTAGGCACAACCTGATCACATTGGGGAGATGGTATTATGCACAACTTGGTCACATTGGGAGAGAGTGTATAAGGCACAACTTGGTCACATTGGGGAGATGGTATTATGCACAACTTGGTCACATTGGGGGAGATTGTATTAGGCACAACCTGATCACATTGGGGAGATGGTATTAGGCACAACTTGGTCACATTGGGGAGATGGTATTAGGCACAACTTGGTCACATTGGGGAGATGGTATTAGGCACAACTTGGTCACATTGGGGAGATAGTATTAGGCAGAACCTGATCACATTGGGGGAGAGTGTAGCAGGCAACATGTGATCACATTGGGAGAGAGTGTATTAGGCACAACTTGGTCACATTGGGGGAGATGGTATTAGGCACAACTTGGTCACATTGGGAGAGAGTGTATAAGGCACAACTTGGTCACATTGGGGAGATGGTATTAGGCACAACTTGGTCACATTGGGGAGATTGTATTAGGCACAACCTGATCACATTGGGGAGATGGTATTAGGCACAACTTGGTCACATTGGGGAGATGGTATTAGGCACAACTTGGTCACATTGGGGAGATGGTATTAGGCACAACTTGGTCACATTGGGGAGATAGTATTAGGCACAACTTGGTCACATTGGGAGAGAGTGTATTAGGCACAAGTTGGTCACATTGGGGAGATGGTATTAGGCACAACTTGGTCACATTGGGGAAATGGTATTAGGCACAACTTGGTCACATTGGGGGAGATTGTATTAGGCACAAGTTGGTCACATTGGGGAGATGGTATTAGGCACAACTTGGTCACATTGGGGAGATGGTATTAGGCACAACTTGGTCACATTGGGGAGATGGTATTAGGCACAACTTGGTCACATTGGGGAGATGGTATTAGGCACAACTTGGTCAAATTGGGGAGATGGTATTAGGCACAACTTGGTCACATTGGGGAGATGGTATTAGGCACAACTTGGTCACATTTGGGAGATGGTATTAGGCACAACTTGGTCGCTTTGGGTGAGATAGTATTAGGTGCAACTTGGTCACATTTGAGAGTGTAGTTGGCAGAGAGGTGGCCAAGAAAGTACACCCAATTTTATAGCTGTTTCACAGTTTAACTCCAACATTTTGTTATTCCAAAATCATTTATTCCAACATTTATTGATTGTTGAGATGTCTTGCTCACATATAATTATCACGGCAGCTTTTTAGGTCCGCTGCCTGGGAACAAATCACAAAGTAAACAAAGAATTTCCCATTTGGTAGTCTAACACAGCTATCATTCTTTGTCGGAGTAGATGCGGAAATCTGGAAGTGTCGCATCTATGTTTTGTGCTTAAAAAGATGTATTTCGGGGCCTAGTGTTGCAGTCAGGATACATATCTCTTCATGAACAAATATTTCTTCAAGTACCGAATAAAAGATTACATCAGATTACAAAAACTTGAATTACCAGACACAAACAAGACCTGTAACTGGATCTATAGTGCGTTCTACAATGTTTAAACAAGGTCTGAAAAAAACTAACCTGTTAAATTGATGACAGTTGTTTGATTTAATTTTTCTTGTATAAAAACAACATTAGAATATCATATCCTGCCCTAGGCTAATTCAAACGTATTATCTAAGCTTCAGTCTGAATGAGAGCTGAAGAAAACCAGCTCATTTTTCCAAGTAAATGTCAGAAGATTTCAGAGCAGGTTGCTGTTTATTTCTGTGCTTGTAGTGACAATTAAAAAAAATGAGACATAGTTCCTTGAGAGTAGGTCAGTGTGGCTTATGGTGAAGGGATCTGATTGTGTCTGTGCACTGATCACCTCCGTGATGGCTGGTGCTGCAAGGTGACGTCTTCCTACAACTTTTGATCACTTTTATGCATTGCACCAGTAGTTACAAACTTCTACTGGGGCGTGCCTCATTTAAACTCTTGACATGAACAGGAATTCTTGAAATTCTTTCCAAAAATCATTTGTAAGTGTTACTGTGTTTGGTGAATGCTCACGAAGCCCTCTGGGTATGTGTATCATATCTGCCTGAACAGTTCTGGCTGATTGAGGCAGATCAACGATCAACAACAGGTGCATGTTGACTCACCAGCAACACACAGATACAAGGGATTGTTATGCAATGGCAGTTATGTTGTTGCTGATTCCGGAAAAAAACAAAAAAATTACAATGCAAATGTGTTAAATTTGCCTTTTCTACTTCTTTCTTACTTACTGTCTTTCAGAAAATGACAATTTGCAATAAAGAAGGAGATTTCAGTGAGTGAGTGAATGTGTTTAGCTCAGGCAGCAATAATCCGGCTGTTGCAGCGGTACGTATGTAACCAAGTTAGGGCCAGGGAGACCAGTGGTTGATAGCATGAGCAACTACCCCAACAGGTGGTTACAATTACATACTCAATCCACACATATTGACTATCTATCCTTCCTTTGTCGTCTGGTACAACAACCAGGGTGTGTGGGGAAATAGTCTATCAGGCGACTTAGATAAATGCATAGTGCATACAATACTTGCAAGGCAGGAGTTGTTTGTTTCTGTGTAGGATCAGTCATATGTTAGTGTTCAGCTTCGGCTTCGGCTTAGCCCAATGACCAAATAATTGGTGAAACCTCAGGGGCTTGGTCTTGGTCATACAGACTTCTGGATTGTTAGTGAACCAAATGGAAATGGGCTTGTCAAAATTCCAGAATTTGTACAGTATAATATTTGATTACATGCAGTGTGTAACATATATCAATCATGCTATTGTGTTCAGTGAAACCCTGTTAGTTCTGGTTAATTCCTGGTGAATTGTCTGAATTAACAGTTTGTGTATTAACAAATCTCTGGTTTTCTTTGTTGTTTTTACCGCTACACTCAACAACATTCCAGCTATATGATGGCGGTCTGTTAATAATCAAGTCTGGACTAGACAATCCAGTGATTGATATCTTGAGCATCAATCCATGCAATTGGGATACAATGACGAGATTGTTGTTGTGTTTTGATACCTCTCGTTGACCAATCAGAATCAAGTACTTTCCAAATACAAGGTAGAACATATGTTAAACAACATTCTCTCCCACATGCAAAAGTTAACCCCCTCACCTTGGCCTTTCAGTGGTGTCGCCAAGGTAAATGTGTGAAATATGGCCGCCATGGACCAAAGCCAGTGAACGGAGGCTGGTCCGTGTGGACTAAGTGGACCGAGTGTTCACGGACCTGCGGCAAGGGAGTCAAGTCACGGAGCAGGGAGTGTATCAATCCGCTGTGAGTACATTTAAAGTATTATCCTCTGTGCACCACAAGTCTCTGAGGACTCAGGAAATAGGAATACAAGAAATATTTGCAAGAGATGCAATGATGTATATGTGAATATTTTTGATTAAGTCATAACTGATTGGTTAATTGGTTAATTGTGAAGGTTAGTTGTGCTTAGGATTAAATGACCAGTAACTCTATTCCTTAAAACCTGGAATGGGACCAAATACAAATCATGACATGTATTGGTTTTGATGGAAAACAGATCTAAAAGATCTTGAAAGTAGTTAAGCAGATATCCTGTAATGAAATGCTAGATGTAGTGCTGTGATGGTTCTCTGGATCAGGCCATTGTGGAATAACATGAGATGAGGTGGAATAACGTGAGGTGAGATGGAAGAACGCGACGTGAGATGGAATAACATGAGGTGAGATGGAATAACATGATGTGACATGTTCAAAAGTGTGGTGAGATGGAATAACATGAGGTGAGATGGAATAACATGAGGTGAGATGGAATAATGTAAGGTCAGATGGAATAATGTGAGGTGAGATGGAATAACATGAGGTGAGGGTGAAATATCGTTAGGTGAGATGGAATTACATGAAGTGAGATGGAATAACATGAGGTGAGATGGAATAATGTGAGGAGAGATGGAATAACATGAGGTGAGATGGAATAATGTGAGGTGAGATGGAATAACATGAGGTGAGATGGAATAATGTAAGGTCAGATGGAATAATGTGAGGTGAGATGGAATAACATGAGGTGAGGGTGAAATATCGTTAGGTGAGATGGAATTACATGAAGTGAGATGGAATAACATGAGGTGAGATGGAATAATGTGAGGAGAGATGGAATAACATGAGGTGAGGGTGAAAGAAACTTGAGGTGAGATGGAATAACATGAGGTGAGATGGAATAATGTGAGGAGAGATGGAATAACGTGAGGTGAGGGTGAAAGAAACTTGAGGTGAGATGGAATAATGTGAGGTGATATGGAATTAAATGAGATGAGGGTGAAATAAGGTGAGGTGAGATGGAATAATGTGAGGTGAGGGTGAAAAAAATTGAGGTTAAGTGGAATAATGTGTGGTGAGGTGAAATTGGGTTTAATGTGGCATTCCAGATTATTTCACTTACATAGCTGCATGCATGTGTGTGTATGTTGCAGCTTGTACAAGTCTGACTTACGTGGTTTATAGTGCCAGCCCACTGAGATACTCCACTCTGACACAGCTAACTGCTTTCTACCAGGCATGGTAACAGCAAGCTCCATCCTACTGACCTTCCCCTCTCTGGGCAGTGTGAAGCCCATTTCTGGTGTCCCCGCGCCGTGATATTGCTGGAATATTGCTAAAAGCGGCGTAAAACCATACTCACTCACTCACTCTCCGGGCAGATGACCTATCCACTACACAATGTGGAATAAGGGATGATAGGCAGGCCACATCTCCATTATCAGATTCAGTGGGAACAGGCAGAAGAAATAAAACAAAAAGTTGAACTAAAAAAAATGACTTTTGTTGAGAATACATCTGAAAAGTTGTTGACAATTTGTTCTCAATTTGAAGTCTTCACCACAAGAGTTCAAAAACCTTAAATGTGTTCATTATGACTCATTGCATTGTGCTTTATTCATAGTGTAATGCTTGCTATATCTTTGTTAATAATTTAAACAACTGAAAAAGTGGTGTAGAGACAAAAAGGAAGCAATAGGCAGGGTAATTTCACTTCTTTGAATATCCTGCCGAGAAGAAAGAGCGAGGCTATTTTTCTGAAATGGGGAGATGATATATATTCTGGTGAGAAAATGGGTGGATATAGAAAATGTATACGTAGATTTAGAAATTTTTAACAGAATGGTAAATCTCTCCAGTAACCTTTAATGGTCATAAACAGCAGCATCATAGATCAGAGCCTAGTAGCCTAGTGGTCAGTGTTCGCTCGTCACACTGAAGACCCGGGTTCAATTCCCCACATGGGTACAATGTGTGAAGCCCATTTCTGGTGTCCCCTGCAGTAATATTGATGGAATATTGCTAAAAGCAGCGTAAAATCATCACTCACTCACTCACTCACTCACTCACTCACTCACTCACTCACTCACTCACTCACTCACTCACTCACTCACTCACTCACTCACTCACTCACAGATGGTTAGACTCTGTTACTTGTCTGAGTGCGTGTCATAGTACCCCTGCAGGTTCTGGTCCAGACCTCATTATTTACAAGCCACTGTCATAGAGCCGGAAAACTGCTGAGTGAGACGGAAAACAACAACAAACAACATGAATAATCTCACACAAAAAGCAGGCAGCCTTACTGATAACGTGATCTGAATCGTTTCAGTTGAGGTTGCATACAGTTGACCCAGCAGCTAGAATTATCACAAGAAATAAAGTTATAATTTATCAAAAATATCTCCGCACTGTTCATCGGATCACACATCCAATTGAAATCCTTTTATATATTGTGTCTATCATTGAAAGTATCTGTTATCAAATTTCAGAAAGAGGTAATTGAACAAAGAAATCTTTGTGAGTTTCCTGTTTTGTATGCTTTGCAGTGGCACACCTAACACATTTAGATCTTAGTTGAAACTCAATGATGCAAAAAGTCTTTGGAATCAGATAACAAGAAATCATCAAATAACACTAGATATATCTGTCTGTGTGCCTGGGACTAATAAAATTGTCTTCTGTGAGATGTTTTATTGGTTCAGTGACAAAGATTTTCACACAGTGTAGCAGGAGGCTAAGTAGAGGCGCCCCTATAATTGACTGTTGTGTGTGTTGTGAGATGGGCCGATATTGTTACTAATACCCTACGTCTGAAGCTGTTGTCCTACCTGGATAAGCATCATTTACAGCTTAAGTCAACATTGTCCTAGCGGTAATGTCGGCCAACATTAAACAGTGCTTCATTGTTAAATGCAACAAGCACATTCGTAAAGAGAATAATTGTCTTGTTGTCCATCTGAAGACCATTGCAAACATACATTGCGAGTAATGGTTCACTAAACCTTTCAAACTTGTGTGCTCAAAGGCTCAATTAAGCTTAGGGACACAGCTAATCATTGTTATTTTCTGTGCAGGTGCCCGCTAGAACCATTGTTACCAACAGTGGAAGAACTGTGTGGCCCTGAGGGTAGCTAGGGAATGGGAGGGTTACTTTTCTTCTTTGATTTCTTACACCAGAACAACAACTTCAAAACTTTATACTTTATAATTTTCTGATTATACAGTGAATGCCCTGTGCTTGAGTTGTATTTGTGGGGTCCAGGGGCCGCTTTCAGAATTACGCCTGTCATTCTTATGTGGTGGGATTAAGCTTGTGTACCTCCTGTAGAAGGACCATTTCATGGAGGTGTGTTTAGAAAACGTAGAGTGCCTCCTTGTTAGGGGCAAAGGTGAGATTCAAGGACTGACAGGAATTATTGCCATAAATGTTTTATTACTGCTAATCTTGTGAAGCGTAGAGAACGTCTCAGTTCACGCTAAATCCCCACTCTCTCCTTTGAGGAATCAGCCAAGAGGGAGATAATAGATTTAATATGATTGTTGTGTAACTGATTGCTTGGTGAACACAGTGCTGAATGATGGGAGCCTGGCCCACTGTTGGATCACTCTGAAGTGGCCCAGGAGATAGGAATACGACTTGTACAAGCAGCCTTCCAATCAGCTTTACGTTAGGAAGAAACTAGTGTAGGTGTTTGTGTTGCAGCCAGTATAGTCAGGCAAGTCATCACGTGTGTGGCTTCTCAACAATGGTTGGCACTGTGGGGCTGCCAGGTCTTAAAACCATGCTCTTGTAATGCTCAAGACCTGGCTTTAATTCCCTACAATGTGGGATGGTGATATTGGTTTGTCCCTAGTTAGAGGTGACTTAGTGGATTGGGTGGGCAGACTTGGCACTAGTGTGTCATGGTACCCCAACAGTAAGGAACATTGATCTCAATAATAGTCACTCGATTGGCCAAACTTGATTATTTACAGGCCATGGTATAATAGATGGATTAATTGTGTAATGTATGACAGGTGTATCCTAGTGTGTAATATATGACAGGTGTATCCCACAGTGTGTAATATAAGACTGGTGTATTACCCAGTATCCTACAGTGTGTAATATATGACAGGTGTATCACCCAGTATCCCACAGTGTGTTATATATGACAGGTGTATCCCACAGTGTGTAATATATGACTGGTGTATCACAGTGTGCAATATATGACAGGTGTATCACCCAGTATCCCACAGTGTGTAATATATGACAAGTGTATCCCACAGTGTGTAATATATGACTGGTGTATCACCCAGTATCCCGCAGTGTGTAATATATGACAAGTTTATCCCACAGTGTGCAATATATGACAGGTGTATTACCCAGTATCCTACAGTGTGTAATATATGACTGATGTATCACAGTGTGTAATATATGACTGATGTATCACAGTGTGTAATATATGACTGGTGTATCACCCAGTATCCCACAGTGTGTAATATATGACTGATGTATCACAGTGTGCAATATATGACTGGTGTATTACCCAGTATCCCACAGTGTGTAATATATGACTGATGTATCACAGTGTGTAATATATGACTGATGTATCACAGTGTGCAATATATGACTGGTGTATTACCCAGTATCCCACAGTGTGTAATATATGACTGATGTATCAGAGTGTGCAATATATGACCGGTGTATCACCCAGTATCCCACAGTGTATAATATATGACAGGTGTATCACCCAGTATCCTACAGTGTGTAATATATGACTGGTGTATTACCCAGTATCCCACAGTGTGTAATATATGACTGGTGTATCACAGTGTGCAATATATGACCAGTGTATCACCAAGTATCCCACAGTGTTGTAATATATGAAAGGTGAATCACCCAGTATCCTACAGTGTGTAATATATGACTGGTGTATCACAGTGTGTAATATATGACAGGTGTATCACCCAGTATCCCACAGTGTGTAATATATGACTGATGTATCACCCAGTATCCCACAGTGTGTAATATATGACTGGTGTATCCTAGTGTGTAATATATGACAGGTGTATTACCCAGTATCCCACAGTGTGTAACATATGACTGGTGTATCACCCAGTACCCCACAGTGTGTAATATATGACTGATGTATCACCCAGTATCCCACAGTGTGTAATATATGACTGGTGTATCCTAGTGTGTAATATATGACTGGTGTATCACCCAGTATCCCACAGTGTGTAACATATGACTGATGTATCACCCAGTATCCCACAGTGTGTAACATATGACTGGTGTATCACAGTGTGTAATATAGGACTGGTGTATCACAGTGTGTAATTATAGGATTGGTGTGTCACCCTGTATCTCACACTGTGTAACATTGATGTTGCAGACCCCAGTATGGAGGGAAGCCATGCCATGGATTCACACAGGAGACCATCATCTGTAATGCAAAGGTGACATATCCTTAAATATACTGTTTACACTAATGCTTATCACCAACTAATGGATACTCAGTCATGTAATACAAGATGCAGCCCTTTTGCTGAATCAGTAGCTGTATTTATGTAGCTAGTTGTATGGTTTCTCTGAGCTAAGGTATGTGTGTGTTCCCCCAGACCTGCCCCTATGGTGATGAGGACTTCCATGATGTCCAGTGCTCCACATACAATGAGAAGCCATTCAAGGGCTGGTACCTGCAGTGGAAGCCGTACAAGAAGCTGTATAATGGTAGGTCCTTTAGATGCAGCAGAGATATAGGCCGGGGTACGGTTGGTGTTTCTGGTTTCCCAACCAACCCTAATCTGTAGCCCTGCATGAACTTTGTACCTTGTTTTTCTCAAGTGGCACCAAAGCTTTTATAACCATCCTTGTATTATCAATATGCAATGAGCGTTAATTTGATGTATTCACTATCAATAAACCAATCAGTATCTTCATTGGAAAGCAGTGTTTTACTGACATCCTGTAAATTATTAAAAACGCAACAACAAAACGAGCTACCTACAGTATTTTTGGGATGGGCTGAAATAGGAAACACAAGTTTTCTTTTTACCTTGCTACAGCAACAAATTGCATTAAAATTGTAGGGTACAGGTGTGGATCAGTGAAGTTGCCTGATAGCCTCACACACATGCATGTAACAATATAAGTGACATAATCTTGAACGAGATGTTAAACCCCATTTCACCTCGTCTCAACTGGCAATGATACAACTAAAATACTGTTACAAGTGGGGTCAAATGGTTAAAGTGCAGCGATGTGCCAAGTTGTTTCCCTTATTTATGCCAGGATCCACTGATTGTGGGACAAGTCCTATATTTTCCCAAATATCAATGGTCTGTCAGTATCCTTAAGTCAATTGTAATTGTGGTTTTCACCCAAGTAAACGTCTACTACCGTGTCACTTTTGGCTTTTGATATAAACTGACAGGCATGTCACTGAAATAAAGTTCACAGCAGCCTTAATCCCAACTCACTCTCTCCCTCACTGAGTGTTAAGCTCATCCCACTCCCTATTAATATTTCAGTCTATTCATGTATTGTAAATATGGTATGTGATTTGTTACTTGCAGCACAGGACCCATGTAAGCTGTATTGTGTGGCCGAGACACTCAACTTTGTGTTCACAGTAAAGCATCTTGCAATTGATGGTACCTCTTGTAACAATGACAACATCTGTGTGACAGGCGCTTGCAAGGTAGGAATAAACTATTTCGCTTCCTCTGTGACTGTATCTTTGGTATCCGTCCAAAACATCATCTGTTTGACATCTCTTGAAATCATTAATTGTTTGAAGCACAGGTGATGCTCGGCTATTCTAAACATGGACGCAATGGCAGTCATTTCGAACATGCTACAGTTAGACAATCCCATATAGAAAACTTTTCACTTTTTAATTTATCATTTAGTTTCATTATTTTAAATTTTCAGAAGCAGGCCTTTTGAAACCTTTGTTTCAAACTGTTTTACTTTGATCTCAAAATGTTTGAAATACTCAAGGTGAACTTCTGTGCTCATAGGGTTATGGCGTAGCCAAGTGATTAAGGCCTTTGGTTGTAACGCCCAAGTTCCAGGTTTGATTTCCTACATAAGTTTTGTGTATGAAACCTGTTTTTGGTGTTCCTGCTGTGATAGTGCTGGAATATTGCACAGTAAAACTATTCTCTCCTGAGCTCTGTATTGTTAAGGTTAAGGGTTAGGGCATGACTAAATATTCCTGAAAAGTCTACCAGGATATGGGGACATTATCATGTCTGACAGCTCTACCAGGATGTGGGGACATTATCATGTCTGACAGCTCTACCAGGATGTGGGGACATTATCATGTCTGACAGCTCTGCCAGGATATGGGGACATTATCATGTCTGAAAGCTCTACCAGGATGTGGGGACATTATCATGTCTGACAGCTCTACCAGGATATGGGGACATTATCATGTCTGACAGCTCTACCAGGATGTGGGGACATTATCATGTCTGACAGCTCTACCAGGATATTGGGACATTATCATGTCTGACAGCTCTGCCAGGATATGGGGACATTATCATGTCTGAAAGCTCTACCAGGATATGGGGACATTATCATGTCTGAAAGCTCTACCAGGATATGGGGACATTATCATGTCTGACAGCTCTACCAGGATATGGGGACATTATCATGTCTGAAAGCTCTACTGGGATATGGGGACATTATCATGTCTGACAGCTCTGCCAGGATGTGGGGACATTATCATGTCTGACAGCTGGTTGTGGAGACAGTGACACTGTTTGTTGCTGCAGTAGTATCTGGTGTTTGTTACAGAGAGTTGGGTGTGACCTGGTCATCGGCTCGGCTGCCCGGAATGACATCTGTGGTGTGTGTGAGGGAGATAACTCCACCTGTAAACTGATCCAAGGACAATACACACAGCAGCCCCGGTTAAACAGTAAGTAGCCTTATCCACCATGTATCACCTTCCAGCCACATGGACTACAGGAAAACACTCCAGGAGCACCTGTTCTTGAAGTCTGTTGTTCGTGATGTGAATAAGTATCATGAGTATAGTGATAACAATTGTAATGTAAAATGATGCTCTCTGTTAAGAGGTCAAATGAATCTTTGAATCCAGTATTCCGGCTGTAATCTGTTGTGTATGGGGTTTAACACTATAGATATTTATTTTGCCTTTGACTAAATATATGTTATGTTTATGAACTTATGGGTTTCACAAAAGTGGTAGACACTCACTCACTCACTCACTCACTCACTCACTCACTCACTCACTCCACCGTCAACTGATTTGTGTGGTCATGTGATTCTGAAAATTCTTCCTGTTTCTTGTAGCTTATTTCCCCATTGCTGTGTTACCAAAGTCTGCAAGGCATATTCGCATACGAGAGAAGAAGATCTCTTCCAACTTCCTGGCAATGCGGAACATCTATGGCAGCTACTACCTGAATGGCAACAGAGTCGTGGCTTGGCCTGGGATCTACAAACTTGGAGGTGCAGACTTCACCTACAAGCGTCCATACAGCAACCCTGAAACACTCGAGTCAGATGGGCCTCTTGGGGAGGATCTTGTCCTGGAGGTAGTCACACTCTTGTTAGCATTTGTGAAGAATCCTATGACACAATGATTTAGATACCTGGTGCAGCTAACTTTTTGAGTAAAAGGCACATGAACAATGGACTGCCTTTCATTCAAATCATTTATCCAAATATGGAAAGGCTGTTCACTTCCATAGTGAAAATCGTTGTAGCTGTTATTGACCAAGAGGTTGATCATATTTTATGAAAAGCTCTCTCCCGTGACCCGTGAAGATCTGGGGTAGATTAGGTCTTCAGCAACCCATGCTTGCCATAAAAGGCGACTATGCTTATCGTAAAAGGCGACTAATGGGATGCTTGTCATCGATCCCAATTTCGTGGATAGATGCTCATGATGTCAAACACTGGATTGTCTGATTCAGACTCAATTGTTTACAGACCGCCATCATATAGCTGGAATATTGCTGAGTGTGGTGAAAAACAACAAACAAACAAACAAACAAACAAAAAAAACCTGTCTCCGATGAATCTCAGGAACTTTTATTTATCTGGAATCAAAGGGGTTCACAATACCAAATGGGGATTTGGTGGCCAAAATGCCTGCTGAGTGTCCATAGCACATAGTAAGTGGTCAAGTTATACAAGATATTGTTGTGAGGTGACTGATAAGTGTGCTGTTCAGAGTGAGTGAGTGAGTGAGTGACTTGGGTTTAACGCTGCTTTGAACATGCTATTCAGAAATGTTTTGTTGTCTTGCAGATGTTGGTGCAAGACCGCAACCCTGGTATTGTGTATGAATACACCATTCCAAAAACTCCAGCAGAGTTGAGACTGACCCCAGCAACAACAACCTCCACCACCACAACCACCACTACTACCACCACCACCATGCCACCGCAGCCCATTCGTCCTAAAGTGTTGTACACCTGGAGCGTGTCGGTGTCGTCCTGCACAGAGCCATGTGCTGGAGGTGAGCTTTGTAGTCAGGAAGGGATGGGGTGGTGGTTGAGTATGTGTCTTGTAGTTGTGGTGGGGTGAAATAGGATGTGTCTTCATTAGTACATATAGTGAGGGTCAGGGTTGGGTGAGGTAGGATGAGATGGTGATTTCAGAAGTATGGATCTGGGTGCTGTTGTACAAAGCAAACATTGCGGTAAGGTAGTCACAACTCCCATACCTTAAGATAGACTTACGACAGTCGTAGCGCTAAGACTTTTTTGTACAACGGCACCCTGGTTTGGGTGAGGTAGGATGGAGTTGGTGAGTTTCATTAGTATGGATTAGGGTTGGGTGAGGTTTGGTGACACAGGTGAGTTCAGTAGTTTGGATCAGGGTTGGGTGAGGTAGGGTGATATTAGTGATTTCAGTAGTATAGATCAGGGTAGGATGATATTGGTGATTTCAGTAGTATGGATCAGGGTTGGGCGAGGTAGGGTGACAGGTGAGTTTCAGTAGGATTGGTCTGGATGAGTGAAAGGTAGAATTGGCCTATAAAGCACAGTTTGCGGAATCTGTTTATCCTAGCTCAGCTGGAATGAATCGATGTATATTATTTGATAATTTGAAATTATATATTCATATGAGAAATACATACTCAAAGATAAAACTTGTTACCCACATGATCTTCAGGGAAGAAGAATGTTACTGCTTCTTGTCGGCGCGATCTCCAGGTGGAAGTTGACAACAAGTATTGTGACGTTCGCCGCAAACCCAAGACTGGCCTCTTCCCATGCAATGCCCAGCCCTGTTCTCCCAGGTGAGTGTGCAGCAGGTGACCCATTGACTGGGGCCTGCTTAGGGTTGTACCCATTGGCTGGGGCCTTCTTAGAGTTGTACCCATTGACCGGGGCCTTCTTAGAGTTGTACCTATTGACTGGGGCCTGCTTAGAGTTGTACCCATTGGCTGGGGCCTTCTTAGAGTTGTACCCATTGGCTGGGGCCTGCTTAGAGTTGTACCCATTGGCTGGGGCCTTCTTAGAGTTGTACCCATTGGCTGGGGCCTTCTTAGAGTTGTACCCATTGGCTGGGGCCTTCTTAGAGTTGTACCCATTGGCTGGGGCCTGCTTAGAGTTGTACCCATTGGCTGGGGCCTTCTTAGAGTTGTACCCATTGGCTGGGGCCTGCTTAGAGTTGTACCCATTGGCTGGGGCCTGCTTAGAGTTGTACCCATTGGCTGGGGCCTTCTTAGAGTTGTACCCATTGGCTGGGGCCTTCTTAGAGTTGTACCCATTGACTGGGGCCTTCTTAGAGTTGTACCCATTGGTTGGGGCCATCTTAAGGTTGTACCCATTGACTGGGGCCTTCTTAGAGTTGTACCTATTGACTGGGGCCATCTTAAGGTTGTACCCATTGGCTGGGCCCTTCTTAGAGTTGTACCCATTGGCTGGGGCCATCTTAAGGTTGTACCTATTGACTGGGGCCTTCTTAGAGTTGTACCCATTGGCTGGGGCCTTCTTAGAGTTGTACCCATTGGCTGGGGCCTTCTTAGAGTTGTACCCATTGGTTGGGGCCTTCTTAGAGTTGTACCCATTGGCTGGGGCCTTCTTAGAGTTGTACCCATTGGTTGGGGCCATCTTAAGGTTGTACCCATTGGCTGGGGCCATCTTAGGGTTGTACCCATTGGCTGGGGCCTTCTTAGAGTTGTACCCATTGACTGGGGCCATCTTAAGGTTATACACTATGTTGTGGCCACTAAGTCTTCATTTGTAGGGATAAATGCTGTTCTAACAAATACATTAGTTTTCCAATCGTGTTTAGATGAGTCAGGTTAGGCAAGAACAAAATTTATTGTTTTCTTGAAAGGATTTTATTAAAGAATCCATAGAATCTCCTAACCAAAATGAAATTGTTCCTCTTTAAAGGGACTTAATGATTCCAAATTTCCAGTTTAAGTCTAGATGATGTCACAGTATGTTTGACGTGTGTGAAGACGTGGTGTCCTGGATGTAGTCCTATGCATGAGTACCGCTCATCTGTTCTAGGTGGTCTGCTGAGGCGTGGCATACTTGCACCAAGCCGTGTGGAAGTGGGAAACAGATACGGAAAATAACATGTCGCCAGAAACTGTCATCTCAAAAGGAACGGCGCCTCAAGCGGAGATTCTGTAAACATCTTCCCAAACCCGCTAGAAAGAGACGTTGTAATGTTCAGCAATGTCCGTCCAAGTGGCATGTTGGCAAGTGGGGCAAGGTGAGTGGAGTGAAGACGACTGGGTCCACAATGACTTAATGTAGCCACAGGTGGGGGGCATGGTAAGGTGGTGTAGCTGTAGATGGGGTTCACAGTAAAGAGTTGTAGCTGTAGATGGGGGCACGGTGAAGTGTTGTAGCTGTAGATGGGGGCACAGTGAAGTGATGTAGCTGTGGATGGGGCACAGTGAAGTGATGTAGCTGTAGATGGGGGCATGGTGAAGTGTTGTAGCTGTAGATGGGGGCATGGTGAAGTGTTGTAGCTGTAGATGGGGGCACGGTGAAGTGTTTTAGCTGTAGATGGGGGCACGGTGAAATGATGTAGCTGTAGATGGGGTCATGGTGAAGTGTTGTAGCTGTAGATGGGGTTCACAGTAAAGAGTTGTAGCTGTAGATGGGGGCATGGTGAAGTGTTGTAGCTGTAGATGGGGGCACGGTGAAGTGATGTAGCTGTAGATGGGGGCACGGTGAAGTGATGTAGCTGTAGATGGGGGCACGGTGAAGTGATGTAGCTGTGGATGGGGACATGGTGAAGTGATGTAGCTGTAGATGGGGGCTCGGTGAAGTGATGTAGCTGTGGATGGGGACACGGTGAAGTGTTGTAGCTGTAGATGGGGGCTCAGTGAAGTGATGTAGCTTTGGATAGGGCATGGTAAAGTGTTGTAGCTGTAGATGGGGGCACAGTGAAGTGATGTAGCTGTAGATGGGGGCACGGTGAAGTGATGTAGCTGTAGATGGGGGCTCGGTGAAGTGTTGTAGCTGTGGATGGGGACACGGTGAAGTGTTGTAGCTGTAGATGGGGGCACAGTGAAGTGATGTAGCTGTAGATGGGGGCACGGTGAAGTGATGTAGCTGTAGATGGGGGCTCGGTGAAGTGATGTAGCTGTAGATGGGGCACAGTGAAGTGATGTAGCTGTAGATGGGGCATGGTGAAGTGATGTAGCTGTAGATGGGGCACAGTGAAGTGATGTAGCTGTAGATGGGGCATGGTGAAGTGATGTAGCTGTAGATGGGGCATGGTGAAGTGTTGTAGCTGTAGATGGGGGCACAGTGAAGTGATGTAGCTGTAGATGGGGGCTCGGTGAAGTGATGTAGCTGTAGATGGGGGCTCGGTGAAGTGATGTAGCTGTAGATGGGGGCTCGGTGAAGTGATGTAGCTTTGGATAGGGCATGGTGAAGTGTTGTAGCTGTAGATGGGGCATGGTGAAGTGATGTAGCTGTAGATGGGGCACAGTGAAGTGATGTAGCTGTAGATGGGGCATGGTGAAGTGATGTAGCTGTAGATGGGGCACAGTGAAGTGATGTAGCTGTAGAATGGGGCACAGTGAAGTGATGTAGCTGTAGATGGGGCATGGTGAAGTGATGTAGCTGTAGAATGGGGCACAGTGAAGTGATGTAGCTGTAGATGGGGGCACAGTGAAGTGATGTAGCTGTAGATGGGGGCACAGTGAAGTGATGTAGCTGTAGATGGGGGCTCGGTGAAGTGATGTAGCTGTAGATGGGGACACGGTGAAGTGATGTAGCTGTAGATGGGGCACAGTGAAGTGATGTAGCTGTAGATGGGGCATGGTGAAGTGATGTAGCTGTAGATGGGGCACAGTGAAGTGATGTAGCTGTAGATGGGGCATGGTGAAGTGTTGTAGCTGTAGATGGGGGCATGGTGAAGTGTTGTAGCTGTAGAATGGGGCACAGTGAAGTGATGTAGCTGTAGATGGGGCATGGTGAAGTGATGTAGCTGTAGAATGGGGCACAGTGAAGTGATGTAGCTGTAGATGGGGGCATGGTGAAGTGATGTAGCTGTAGAATGGGGCACAGTGAAGTGATGTAGCTGTAGATGGGGCATGGTGAAGTGTTGTAGCTGTAGATGGGGGCATGGTGAAGTGTTGCAGCTGTAGAATGGGGCACAGTGAAGTGATGTAGCTGTAGATGGGGCATGGTGAAGTGATGTAGCTGTAGAATGGGGCACAGTGAAGTGATGTAGCTGTAGATGGGGGCATGGTGAAGTGATGTAGCTGTAGAATGGGGCACAGTGAAGTGATGTAGCTGTAGATGGGGCATGGTGAAGTGATGTAGCTGTAGAATGGGGCACAGTGAAGTGATGTAGCTGTAGATGGGGCATGGTGAAGTGTTGTAGCTGTAGATGGGGGCTCGGTGAAGTGATGTAGCTGTAGATGGGGGCTCGGTGAAGTGTTGTAGCTGTAGATGGGGGCTCGGTGAAGTGTTGTAGCTGTAGATGGGGGCACAGTGAAGTGATGTAGCTGTAGATGGGGGCTCGGTGAAGTGATGTAGCTGTAGATGGGGGCATGGTGAAGTGTTGTAGCTGTAGATGGGGGCTCGGTGAAGTGATGTAGCTGTAGATGGGGGCACGGTGAAGTGTTGTAGCTGTAGATGGGGGCTCGGTGAAGTGATGTAGCTGTAGATGGGGGCATGGTGAAGTGTTGTAGCTGTAGATGGGGGCATGGTGAAGTGTTGTAGCTGTAGATGGGGGCACGGTGAAGTGTTTTAGCTGTAGATGGGGGCACGGTGAAGTGATGTAGCTGTAGATGGGGGCACGGTGAAGTGATGTAGCTGTAGATGGGGGCACAGTGAAGTGATGTAGCTGTGGATGGGGCACAGTGAAGTGATGTAGCTGTAGATGGGGGCTCGGTGAAGTGATGTAGCTGTAGATGGGGGCATGGTGAAGTGTTGTAGCTGTAGATGGGGGCATGGTGAAGTGTTGTAGCTGTAGATGGGGGCACGGTGAAGTGTTTTAGCTGTAGATGGGGGCACGGTGAAGTGATGTAGCTGTAGATGGGGGCACGGTGAAGTGATGTAGCTGTAGATGGGGGCACGGTGAAGTGTTGTAGCTGTAGATGGGGGCATGGTGAAGTGTTGTAGCTGTAGATGGGGGCACGGTGAAGTGATGTAGCTGTATATGGGGGCATGGTGAAGTGTTGTAGCTGTAGATGGGGGCATGGTGAAGTGTTGTAGCTGTAGATGGGGGCACGGTGAAGTGATGTAGCTGTAGATGGGGGCATGGTGAAGTGTTGTAGCTGTAGATGGGGGCACGGTGAAGTGTTTTAGCTGTAGATGGGGGCACGGTGAAATGATGTAGCTGTAGATGGGGTCATGGTGAAGTGTTGTAGCTGTAGATGGGGTTCACAGTAAAGAGTTGTAGCTGTAGATGGGGGCATGGTGAAGTGTTGTAGCTGTAGATGGGGGCACGGTGAAGTGATGTAGCTGTAGATGGGGGCACGGTGAAGTGATGTAGCTGTAGATGGGGGCACGGTGAAGTGATGTAGCTGTGGATGGGGACATGGTGAAGTGATGTAGCTGTAGATGGGGGCTCGGCGAAGTGATGTAGCTGTGGATGGGGACACGGTGAAGTGATGTAGCTGTAGATGGGGGCTCGGTGAAGTGATGTAGCTTTGGATAGGGCATGGTGAAGTGTTGTAGCTGTAGATGGGGGCACAGTGAAGTGATGTAGCTGTAGATGGGGGCACGGTGAAGTGATGTAGCTGTAGATGGGGGCTCGGTGAAGTGTTGTAGCTGTGGATGGGGACACGGTGAAGTGTTGTAGCTGTAGATGGGGGCACAGTGAAGTGATGTAGCTGTAGATGGGGGCACGGTGAAGTGATGTAGCTGTAGATGGGGGCTCGGTGAAGTGATGTAGCTGTAGATGGGGGCTCGGTGAAGTGATGTAGCTGTAGATGGGGGCTCGGTGAAGTGATGTAGCTGTGGATGGGGACACGGTGAAGTGATGTAGCTGTAGATGGGGGCTCGGTGAAGTGATGTAGCTGTGGATGGGGACACGGTGAAGTGATGTAGCTGTAGATGGGGGCTAGGTGAAGTGATGTAGCTGTGGATGGGGACACGGTGAAGTGTTGTAGCTGTAGATGGGGACACGGTGAAGTGATGTAGCTGTAGATGGGGGCACGGTGAAGTGATGTAGCTGTAGATGGGGGCACGGTGAAGTGATGTAGCTGTAGATGGGGGCTCGGTGAAGTGTTGTAGCTGTGGATGGGGACACGGTGAAGTGATGTAGCTGTGGATGGGGACACAGTGAAGTGATGAGACCATTGGTAGCTATGTATTTCAGGAGCCTTGCAGGTTCAGAAAAACAGGTTTATATTTGACTGTTGGGACCTTTCTTAATTGAGGGTCAATTACAGAAGTGATCTTTCAGTAACACTTATTTTGATAAAATAATACTTAATACTTGATAATCTTTCAATAAGAGTCTCCATATAGTCAGTGAATAACAATCAGGTATCCGCAAACATCAGGTATATATGCACCAAATATTTCTGATTTCAGTGTTCTGCAACTTGTGGTAAGGGCATGCAGCATCGACGTATAATGTGTCGTCGTCGTGAGCGGCGAGGGTTTCGTGTACTGTCTGAGGACGAGTGTTCTGGGATGAAGAAACCTAATGTGTCCCGCATGTGTAAAATGCCACTCTGCAAAGAGAAATATGAATGGCTGTTGTCACCATGGGGACCTGTAAGTTCAAACAATATTTCTGTAAAATATTTTCTCAGAACTTTGCTATGTGATATCACTAAATACTCGGAACAGATAAATGTCTCATTAATGTGTTAACACTTGGCATTAAACACTTGGTTGTATAACATGCCTCTTTAGCCTCTGCTTCTATAAGCTATAAGATAACATTGAGTGACAGAGGTAAGTGACGGATTACTTTACAATCCTGTTAAATCATACTGTCTTATAGAAACATGCATTATGCAGGTATAATATATTATTTGAATAGCATGTTTACCTAACATTATCTCACAATATGCACAGTATATTGCAGAAACAAAGTGCTTTCAGTATTTTTTGGTTCTGTTTTTGTTATATTAATTATTACATTTTTGTGAAATTGTGTTTGCTGAGTGTTGTACAGTATACTTACACTTATGAGTTCAAATTCACTAGGTTCTTACATCTTAAACATAAGTTTTTAACAAGCTGTTTGATGGAAGTAAACACGTAGTACACACTGCTGTTCATTAAAGTTCATTTACTGAGTACTTGGATAAGTCTGGATTCAATTAATTTCTCAAAAATGTTTGAAATTCTAAGAAAAATAACTTAAATTAGCTTTTTATGTGAAGACAAGTGTAATACTAGCCTTCAGGGGTGTAACAATGTCAATAAAGTTCACTGTTCATATCTTTATACAAGGCTTCAATGCAACAAACATATATGTCATGTTTCACGTCCTAGATCACAATGCAAGCCATATTTCAGCATGAATATTAAAAATCTATCAATCAGATTGAAATAAGATGTAAAATGTTCTACACCATGTTGTATGGTGAATTGTTGTACAGTGGCATGGTGTTGTACAGTGACACATTGTTCTGCAGTGTCATATTGTACAGTGACACATTGTTCTTCAGTGGCACAGTGTACAGTGTCATGTTGTTGTACAGTGACACATTGTTCTACAGTGTCATGTTGTTATGACTTATGGATCTCATACCATCCTGTACTTGTTACTGAAGTCCAGCGAGCAGTGGCTCACATGTACTCACAATCACAATGTGCAGAATGTATTGTTAGATGAAAGGACAGAAAAGTCTCAGGCACTACTCAATCAACAAGAACATCCTGCATGAAAGCATTTTATTTCTGCTTGGACTTAAAAAATAAAATCACACTATTGAAGCACTCCTTTTTCACACTAAAACAATTGAGCACCTGTATTACTTCAAAGCACTGCCAGAGAGCAGGTGACTTCATCAAATAGGGATTTCAGTCTTTGAACTGCTGACCTTATGTGAGATATATAGTAAAAATAACAATTGTGGAGGATTTGTTCAGATCTGTAGCTGTTCCAAGAAAGGCCACATCTCCAAGTTCACTTTTAAAATACATTCACTGTTTAGTGATTTTAAGGCTCTTCTCTCACTTGAACATCTATCCTCCTGTGGTATCATAATCAGAGAATGTATTAATATGTTGTAAGGAGGGATTTTATTGTCACAAGTCTAAGAATGTGTTAACAAAGGTTATGGGTGTTGGATTTACCAACCAAAGCTTCTTCCTTACAACCGTAGCAAGGCAAGGAAGTATAGGTAGATGATCATATACTTATACTCTTTAGCTGCTTGCTTCAACAATAAGCTTATGTAGACATGAACTGGATGAATGAACAACGCCATGCTTTCTTGCCTTAGTGTTCACGAACGTGCGGTCAAGGGAGGCGGTCGAGATACCTCAAGTGTAATCAAGTCGATGCACATGGCAAGCATGCGCCCGCCACCGATAGTCAGTGTAAACACAATCGCAAACCTAACGTGGCAATGGAGGAGACATGTTGGCTCGTTGAGTGCCCACAGGCGCTACGTGCGTGGCAGCGGCCATATTGGCATGCTTTGCACTGGTCCAAGGTGTGCATGGTGACTCGACGGTCACGCTAGTGGTTTGTTGTATCGTCACTGTGTATTGTGTTTTGTGTGTATTGGTCGGTCCACAGCCAAGCAGAACAAATACACTCATATCAAAGTCTCTGTTTTAGATATTGTTTAGTTATGTTGAAAATGATTTGGGCAGATCACTCAAAATATTGCTAATTGAGGAAAAAAGTAAAATTATTCGCACAATGTATGCAGTATGAAATATTAACTAATTTTATTCTGAAAAGTAATAAAAAAAATTGTGTTTGGTGCTAAAACATCAATGACACTGCTCTGCAGTTCTAAAATAATCCTTGAGAAGTTTTGTTTCGATTTGTTTTAAATTGACCCTCAGACAGCGATTTAACATGATGAAAATGATCTTAACTTATTCTTAATTCTTAACTACTTCATACAGAAGTGTGAATGTACGTACTTGTCTGCTTGGTACTTCGCCGATCTTCCCCTTCCTCCTCAATCTTGCTTCACCATCCCCCAGATGCACCACCTCCGTTACAGTGTAGCTTCCCGTCACACGCACAGCTTCTGTAACACTGCACTCATCATTTCAGGGATAGCTGCTGCTGCTGCTGCAGACTCTCGCTTCACCATGCATTAACAGCTTCCGTCATACAGGCCACACACATCACATCCTGACTCCATTCTATACAGACTTCACATGCATTAACAGCTTCCGTCATACAGGCCACACACATCACATCCTGACTCCACTCTATACAGACTTCACATGCATTAACAGCTTCTGTCATACAGGCCACACACATCACATCCTGACTCCACTCTATACAGACTTCACATGCATTAACAGCTTCAGCCACACAGACCACGCACATCTCATCTTGACTCCACTCTATACAGACTTCACATGCATTAACAGCTTCAGCCACACAGACCACGCACATCTCATCTTGACTCCACACTATACAGACTTCACATGCATTAACAGCTTCAGCCACACAGGCCACACACACATCTCATCCTGACTCCACTCTATACAGACTTCACATGCATTAACAGCTTCAGTCACACAGACCGCACACACTTCATCCTGACTCCACTCTATACAGACTTCACATGCATTAACAGCTTCCGTAACACAGGCCACACACACTTCATCCTGACTCCACTCTATGCAGAATTCACATGCATTAACAGCTTCAGTAACACAGGCCACACACACTTCATCCTGACTCCACTCTATGCAGACTTCACATGCATTAACAGCTTCAGTCACACAGACCGCACACACTTCATCCTGACTCCACCCTATGCAGACTTCACATGCATTAACAGCTTCAGTCACACAGACCACACACACTTCATCCTGACTCCACTCTATGCAGACTTCACATGCATTAACAGCTTCAGTCACACAGACCGCACACACTTCATCCTGACTCCACCCTATGCAGACTTCACATGCATTAACAGCTTCAGTCACACAGACCGCACACACTTCATCCTGACTCCACCCTATGCAGACTTCACATGCATTAACAGCTTCAGTCACACAGACCGCACACACTTCATCCTGACTCCACCCTATGCAGACTTCACATGCATTAACAGCTTCAGTCACACAGACCACACACATCATCATGACTCCACTCTATGCAGACTTCACACACCAACAGGGTTTGGTTCCCCACACGGGTACAGTGTGTGAGGATGTTCTTGGTTCTCCCTGTTATGGTATACCTAGAATAATGCCAAATGCCAAATATGACTCACCTTACTCACTCACTCATTTTTGACTGAGATATTGACATCAACATTAGGTGGGGGGGGTGTAAGTTGGAGTGAAAGAAGCTCCAGTAAAATCTTGTCTGGTGTACAGTGTGACAAGTCGGAATATGAATTACATGTACTTGTCTTTTTTATGTAAGTAAAGTACAAATTATGCTGAAATATATCAAGAATACAAATATTAAAACCGTTGCATCCCCTTATCAGTTTACTCAACTGTATTCCATCTATTGTGACTTCTAATAACAGAAATTTATGTCACCTGGTGCACACACCTTCATCTATCACCCGGTCCACACACCTGCATATGTCACCTGGTCCACACACCTGCATATGTCACCTGGTCCACACACCTGCATATGTCACCCGGTCCACACACCTGCATATCTCACCTGGTCCACACACCTGCATATGTCACAAGGTGCACACACCTGCATATGTCACAAGGTGCACACACCTGCATATCTCACCTGGTCCACACACCTGCATATCTCACATGGTCCATACACCTGCATATCTCACAAGGTGCACACACCTGCATATCTCACCTGGTCCACACACCTGCATATCTCACCTGGTCCACACACCTGCATATCTCACCCAGTCCACACACCTGCATATGTCAACTGGTCCACACACCTGCATATGTCACCTGGTGCACACACCTGCATATCTCACCTGGTCAAAACCTCCATATCTCACCTGGTGCACACGCACACCTGTTTATATCACATGGTGCACTTGCATACATGTATTTGACAACTGGTACACTACCTGTATATATCACCTGGTGCATACAACAGAATATCTCACCTGGTGCACTTGCACTCTTGTATATACTACTCAAAAGAAGTTAAGGACATCCCAATTCTGCCATGACAGATCAACTATAGTAATATGAGGGAATCGGGTTTTCCTTTAAGTTCTTTTGTGTAGTATAGATCACCTGGTGCACTAGCACAGCTGTATTTGATACCTGGTAGTGGTACCCCTCTGCATTCTGTCACACACCTGCATTCTGTCACACACCTGCATTCTGTCACACACCTGCATTCTGTCACACACCAGCATTCTGTCACACACCTGCATTGTCACTGTCACATACTCAGGTACACTTCTACATGCAGTCCAAGCCAGTGCTTTGTCTCCATTTCATGATGGTACAGACTACAAACCCTGAATTATATGATGTATCCATGGGCAATGTCAATACTTATGCCAGCCCTGACAAAGGATAACTGTCATTTTATTCAGTGTTTGTTTACAATTGAAACAAAATGATTACCTTTTCTATTTTCTGTTTCTGTCTTCTACATAAGACTAATTGCATATTTACTTTCATTGATGCAAATTAATTCAAAGCTTCCTAGACTGTTCTAGCTGAATTATCTCTTACTAGTGTAAATGTGATATAGTTAAATGTTGGTTTCATCTTTCTCATTAACATTCCTGTCAATAACATGTCAAGATCCCTTCTGCCTTCTGATTAGATAAATGTAGAAACAAACGATTAACCCTAGAGAATAACCACCAGAATGTTGTATTGCAGTGTTCTGCCACATGTGGGCGTGGCATTCAGGTACGGAGCATCAAGTGCATTGACAGCCACAGAAGACCACACCCATTTGCATGCAAGTCACATCACAAGCCCCACACATCCAGACCATGCAACGCTGGAATATGTCCGTCCAAAGATCGTAAGTTGTGCCTACAGTTTGCTTGTTGTAGGAAGATATGGCATATGATATGTTTAAGGGTTAATATGAAAACTGCAAACAGTCAGGTGAAACTGTTTCCAGTATTGTTTTCTGTGTACAATATACCAACAAACCAAAATGGCAAGCACTGGTTGGATGAAAAGCTGTTTCATACACAGTAGCAGTGAGGCCTTTCTGGTTTCTCTGATTGATGGTAGAAAAAAATAATTAGATTCATCAGTGTGTTTTCTTTTTAAGATTCTTGATTATTTAGTAAGCTGATTAAGTAATAAAACAATAAACAAATAATACTGACGAGGTCACCAGTCCCATTCTCTTATCGACCAGTGATTATGGTTCTTTTGTTGTCAGACAAGCTAGGACCCAGATGCACCATGATGTAGTAACACAATGGTGCTTCAAATAATACATTCTGCCATATAACAAGTATTGTATGTCGATGTCTGATATAAATGCCATACAGTGATTCCAGGTCAGGCACCCAGCACTCCATGCTCACAACAAGAGCAGACTAAAATGAATTTGGTTTGGTTTGGTTGTTATTTTACACCGCACTCAGTATTATTCCAGCAAAATGACGGCAGTCTGTAAGTAATCGAGTCTGGACCAGACAATCCAGTGATTGATATCGTGAGCATTGAGCCACACAATTGGGATCGATGACATGAATCGACCAAGTCAGCGAGTCTGACCACCCGATCCCATTAGTCGCCACTTACGGCAAGCATGGGTTGCTGAAGACCTATACTACCCCGGATCTTCACGGGTTGACTAAACTGAGAATTGTGGGGCCACAATGCATGACTGGCAGATTGTGTTCTGATGACATGAATCCACCACTGCTTCGACTGTTTACAGGCTGCCGTCATATAACTGGAATATTTCTGAGTGAGGCATTAAACAACAAATAAACAAACAAAACTGCTTAGACTGTCTCAGACATGATAATGAGCAGGCTGCTACAGTACTGCAACTGAAGCATAATTCAACACTAGAATGTTTTCAATATTAAATCATACATGCGTACAAGGATGGTATTGATATAAAGCACCAAGGATTTGCCCTGCTCTCTACATGTGCAAGTCCTAAGGAGTCGAAGTAATATATTGTGAGTCACAAACATAGAAAGGAGTCCCACTGTACCAACAGCAAATAAAATGCAAAGTATGTGTGATGCATTATGGGTATTTCCACTTTTGAATTGAAACTTAGTGATTGAGTGAGGAACATCTGACATGGCCTGTCCAAAAAACTGATTCTATATATTATCAGACCAGAAATATCAGAGAAGCCTGTCTTTGTCTTTCCAACATTCATACTCTTACATCCAATGGGGACCGCCTCCATGGTCTAGAGCATCCGCCCAGAGAGCGGAAGGTCCGGGGTTCAATCCCCGGCCACATCATACCAAAAGACGTCAAAAGATGGTACTTGTTGTTACCCTGTCTGACGCTTGGCATTTAGGGGCTAAAACAAGGACTGGTCGGCTCAGAGTCAGTAAACTGTGTCTGAGTGGGATATTCATGTTAAACTGCGGCATCATATCTCTGTGAGCTAGCACTATAAATTGGCATCAGTCCGGACTAGTACAAGCAGCGACACTCACACACACGTGCATGCACGTCGCTATAATCTTCGACGCGACGTTAAACCCAATTTCACCTCACCTACATCCAATGGGACTTGCAGGGAATATTATTGTGTCCATTCTTTATGAGTTTTATGAGTACAGGATGCTGTATATAGAGTCCAGATAAACCCTGTAACACATTGACCATGCTATAATTGCTATATCTCCTACCTCTCCACAGAACCGTGTGAGGACACAGTGAGCTGGTGCCCGCTGGTCCGACAACACAAGGCATGTGACCGGCGCTACTATCGCAAGAGCTGCTGCAAGACATGTCAGGGGACATGAGACGTGAGCAGCGTCACCTACTGGACCAGCCTCACACCAGACTGAAACCTCCGATCTCGTGCATGCATGGTTGTGATTTGTTCTCATTGTCATGTATTTATTCACCATGTCAACTGACATGTGGTTGAATGTATGCAAGTTTTAAATGACAGCTGTGATGTGTCAAGAAATATTCACAACAGAAGGCTGTCAACATTAGACATTGCCGTTTTGGAAAAATAAGTGCTGACAGTTGCAATGTCAGTGTCTGAACTATTGACAGTCTGTTGATGAGAGTATACATTGCTTTCTAAACACAAACAGAAGTTTTATTTTTTATCATCGTCTCTCAACCAGTGGAAATATGACCACACGATGATTGGCAAGGAAATGTTACTCCACTTTGTTTCAATAACATGCCTGCATCATCAGCATTTCCTTGTGTTTTGGGGACAGCTGTTTGATATTGGTATCATATTACTAGTTTATATGTGGATGTGGATGTTTAAATGATAATTTGGCTCGAATCTTATGTTGTCCATAGCAACATTATTGTCGTTTAACAAATGTTATTTATCATTTTTCTTTTAAATTGTGTATTATCCAAGTTCATGCAAGGTTTAAGTTCTGACCAAAAATCAGGTCATCAATATTAGCTGCATGTGAAGGTAATCCTTTTTTTCTGTGACCAAAATAAATATTAAACTTTTTGTCTAATTCAGAACTAAAGTATGAATCTATCTTTTTGGAATCTAACTCTCATTTCTTCGTTTCAATGTTATAGAAATGAAACTCAGACGTGCTCCATAAGATAAACAGTGCAATGTTTCAAGCATTATTTAAATTCCTCTCTCCATCCATACACATTATTAATGTATATGATAAACTCAGTTTTTCATCCCTTTTGCGGTGTTCTCCAGGTCACAAGGTTGTCAGTGTTATCAAAGAGAGAGAGAGACAATCTCTTAACATCAGAATCATTTATTTTGACGACCATGAACATGTCAGAGGTCAAATTGTGTTCCTGAAAAGGCACAGTTCTTGGACTGCAAAAAATATCACAAATTTGACCTTTGATTTCACCAGTTACCTCCCTTCATGTTATACACTATATATTCCATCCATTTTTGTAAAGCATATTCAAAGGACTCAATACTGCATAAATGTAGTCAAAGTTAGAAATAGGATATACTTTGAAACTGCCAAACTCTGTTGTCATAAATAATGAACTACATGTACTATCAGTGAACTAGTCAGTTGTCATCAACCAAAATGTCAAGGCCATCCCAAGAGTTAAAGACATTATCCCTCAGTTATGTCCTCTGTGGGATATATTATATATTCACCAGTCCAGTTGTTTATGAATGATGTTAAAGGTACACCACAGAAGACCCCAATTCTTGAACAATTATCTATTTTGTGGACAGTATATTTACAAATATTCCCATAAAATTAAGGGTTTGACATATTGCAGCCTGTAAAGGTATAGAATATCTATATCACGTTTCATATTTGATGTCCATATATGAGTGCATATACGTCTGCATAAATTCAGTATTGGTGTGTCCTTGAGTGTGTATAAAATATTCTTCAGTTGAGTGTGCGAGCGAGTGTTATTGTTCTACATGTTCTTATTAGAAGTTAATACCCAGCTAGTTTCCCCTCATTTGATATATCTAACAGTCAGCAAAGCTGAAGGGGTTGCTGTCCTATAGGGTCAATTACCCTGTCCAAAATTATCATACAGAAACGTACCCTTGCTGGTTACTGAGAAATCAGTTTTGATTTCATATTTAACATAAGGTATGGCATGCTGGAAACCGTGGTTATTGAACGTTAATAATAGAAAAGAAAAGGAGTATTGCATGCTGTGGGATTAGATTGTTAGAAAGTGATGAGGTGAAATTGGGTTAAACATCGCGTCCAAGATTATTGCACTTATATAGAGATGTGTTTGTGTGGCTGCTTGTACTCTTCCGGACTATGCCGATTTATAGTGCTAGCTCACTGAGATACAATACCCCACTCAGACATAGTATACTGACTTCTAGCCGACCAGTCCTTGTTTTAGCCCCTTAATGCCGAGTGCCAGACAGGGTAACAAAAAGTACCATCTTTTGACGTCTTTTGGTATGACGCAGCCGGGGATCGAAACCCGGACCTGACTATGGTGATGATATGAAAAGCATTTTTTTTTTTATTCCTCAAACAGGTAAAGCCATGATTGATTATACCATGACTTGGCATGCTGGAAGTCTGCATAGGAATCAGTTTCAGCTTGCCTCAGTGCTGTACAGTGACCAGCTACAGTGATACACATTTCTGTATTTTGATTTTGGCAAGGATACTTTGTAGATACAGAAAAGTACCGGTACCTGTGGTACCCTGACAGTTTCTGTGCAAGAACACACCTTGTGTACTTGAAACACCACAAAAAGTGCATATCCTCACTTTGAAATGGGAAATATTTGTACATATTGTACTTTGAAAGTGTATTTCATAATGTAGATTGTTTGACATATATACATTTCAGGTTATCATTGTACGTGTATGAATGGGTCCATGTCAGTGTTGTGTATATAGAATTGTACATTAATGAATAATTGTTAGCTAGAGCATAATTAGGAGATAGATTTTCACAATTTTATTACTGGTGTAAAAAGATTATTTTATTATAAGAATTACTTACTGAAATGCATCAGTGTTCATTAAAAACATTGAATAACTATTGTCGTGGTGTATTTTACAGTTAGGCTTAAAAAGAAGAGTCTATGATGATGCAGGCAGTGCCTGACAACACACGTTTTGTTTTTAATTCCATTTTCAAAAGAATCCCAAAACAGCTCAGTAACTACCCTACTGTGCGTCTCGTGTTATGGTTATGGCAGCTATAGGTTTGCATGCTTGTTTATGTAGGGAGGCCTTTCCACACCAGTTTTTTTTGTTTTGATACATACTAGTTTAAACAAGCAAAATAAGCCCCCCCCCCCCCCCGCTCTATATTTCAAAAATCGTTGCCTGAGAACCAATTCTTTTATTTTTTTAAGCCTTTATAGTTATAAGTTGAGAAAACCCTAACTGTTTTGGGCCCCATATAAAAGTAGGTTCCTGGGTACCATCAGTTCTGAGTGAAGTGAAAAGGATACACTTGTAGCACTACCATCAAGACTGACAAACAAATGTTTATTCATGATAAAGACACTCATTTTTGTATGAAATAAAAACCGCCAAGCCCTCAAGATCCTTTGGGAAACAATATCCTGAGAATATGTGAAGGTGATTGTACAATTAAGTTAACGGTATACGACATTGTGTACCAGATGGCAGAAATGCCTGTTTATTTATGTGTATGCGAGAGTTTGTGTTATTGCATATTCGTACGAATAGCGAATCATGATAGTTGTTTGATATCTCAGACAATAGGATTGTAGCATTTATATTTTTATAGTGCCTAGATGGTATTAGGTTTGTCATGTTTCACATTCAAGCCAGAAGACATGTTTTCACCAACTTTGTTTTGTGCATACGGCAACATTCTCAGGCTGCACTAACAGAAGCCTACATGAAAGAAGGTCTCTTTAAGAACAGTTACTTAGAGCACTGGTGACATTTCTTGTATGGCTGTAGCAATTTCAAGGTTTTTGTTAAATTTGGATTCATGGTGTCAGTTTAGTGTTAAGCATGGTCATGTCTACACCTGTACCTCACACTGTCTTGTAAATAGTGAGATGTTGTATATAGTTTTGCCGACTTTACATGATATATTTTCTACAATTTATATGAATTAAAAATTCTGTCAAGTTTTATGTACTAACACATAATGTTAAAGACCGGGGAGACAGATGATTTAGGGTTGAATGTTGATAACAGCTTTGAAATTATATATATATATATATATATATATAATCTTCAATGTTTATTTGTGGACATCTCTACAAATTCTTTTCCTGAAAATAAACAAACCATTTAACCTGTTTTAAGATAGGTGACACTGGAAATGTTTAGAAAAAGTACTTTTTCCCAGGATTACAAGGGTTAAATTGTGGACCTAAATACTTTCTTCACATCATATATTCTTTGTTTGTTAAAAAAACAACTGTAATGTTCAACAAAGTGCCTGTGTGGAAGAACTCCTCTTAATGGTTCTTCTTGTTCCACTTCGCATGTAAATTGCTTCTCTTCCACATTGCTGAAAATCAACTATTGATACGTGTATTCTGCAAATCTCCCCATACATATGAATCTTGATAGATTCTAGGTGATCCTTACATTGTCATCACAAGATAGAGATTATTAGATGATACAGCTGTTGTCATCTTGAAGCATTTCTACATTAAAGTGCAGTTGTTGCGCTAACTCCCGGCCGTCAAATGTAGCTACACAACCTACGTACCTCAGTCACTGTAGATTGTGAGTAGTGGTGGTGTTCTAATCAACAGTGACCAGACAACACCATACTTTCAAGTGACTTAGAGAAACTCTCCAAGGTCCCCAAACCTGAATGTGGTACCATATGAGCAGTATGTATGCAACTTTGCTTTCAGATCAATATCCCTCCCCCTCCCCCCCCCTCCCCCCCAAAGCACATTTCAGAATCAACAGAATGGTCATTTAAAAAAAAATTAATAATAGTCATATGCAAAAATCTGAGGTACAAGTTGATTTATTGGAGACAGATCTTGTTTGTGATAAGCTCTAGGGGAAGAATATTGTCAAATAAGAGTTCAGTATAGCAGTGGAATGACCTATAATAAATGTTTCACCTTTATGGAGACCAGGAATTAGTGCTGCCCATCATGTGCCACCGGTCAATCCAGTTTGTCACCAGCACCGACGTCATAACCAGCCAACATGCAGTTCATAACAGCTTTTGTATCATGTCTGAATACTTTCAAGATATCAATACTCCGTTTTGTTGTTGAATCTTTTGCCATTGCATTGGGATATTCCGAAAGAGGTATAAATTATGCAACTGAAGGGACTTTTCATTTACCATATTGGGTTGGCAAATGTTTCTACTGTGGGTGGGGGAAATCTTTCAAGATATTCATGGATGAAATCACATCCCCCCCATTTATCAATGTTGAGAGAGGTACATCCTCAAATCCTTTAGTGTATGTGTGTACTACCTCTATCATGTCACCTAGAAGTAGTAGTCAGGTGTGTACAGTTCCTTCACTATGAGCACATAGTTGTACACTGCACAAGTCTTCCATTGTAGTCATGTGACTAGTGGATGTATGTCTGATAAATAAACATATTTGTACACTGGTTATTGTTTTATGTACTGTTTAATCTCAAAGAACTGACTGTTTATTCCGCATCTTGCAGCTGTACATGGTCAGGGACCTATTGAACCTGCTAACAAACTTAAAGTGTGAATTACAAGGTTTAATTTGGTGAAATAACAGACTGCCATCAGACATTTTGTACATGACATGGTTGATGTATGTCATTGTATCCCAATTGTGTGGATCGACGCTCATGATATCAATCACTGGTTTATGGCAGTAAACATAACTCATGATGTCCATACAGGCCAGTTGACTAGAATGTTGGATTTTTTTTGTTACAAGACTGATGCTTGTGTAAGAATCTTGTTATCTGATTGACAAGTAATGATAAAAGTTCATACACTGCCCCTGTGGGGACTGATGCTCTAAGTATAACCCAGTATGAATTGATTAATTTTATCTGTCAAAGAGCAGTGACATACACATTAAAAAGACAACAGAACACATGATTTATACAAAACTGAGCATTAATACTGAATTTGTTTGCATGTACGTACAAAACTATGAAAAGTAAACAATAAATAAATATGCTGTTTATTTACAAAAGACAATGAATACCACCTAGCCTGGGGTTCCTAAATGCAAGTCATGTGACAACCTTGATCGTTCAGCCCCTCAGTAGCTGTATGAACAGGGGTCCACATTGAAGAGAGGTTGTGTTGGTTGAACAAATGCTATGCTAGAAATGACAATGAACAATTTATTATGCAGGATGGTTGCTTTCTCTTTTGTTCAGTGTTTACTATCTTATCATGGTTCAATTATTGCTAAATGTGTTTGAACTAACAAAACAAAAAGCACAAAATAAAATGGAATAGGTATCAGTAAACTTACAACAATGTACCAATTATAATCAAGATAATATTGTTATATACAAGGGCTATAACAATGCAGTCGTGATCTTGATGTTCACCCTGGGTAATAATATATTGAAACAAAATGGCCAGCCAAAACACCATCTTGTACATCCTCTCAGAAAATTGCATTTCACAATTCATTATCATACCATTTGGGATGTCCTACTTTTATAATCCACAGGTATTGTTTTGTATGGCGATAATATTTAGAGGTTATTATATGGCAGTTTTCATATCATACCTCATATGGGGGTCGAGGGTTGATATGGTGTTTGGGGTATGATAGGAAATCTGCCATATAATAAACAGTTTATAACAAACCATAACATCAGATGGTAAAATGTATCCATTCGCAAGTGAATGACATACATTTTCACCTTGTTTGTGTCATGGGAAAGCCAGCTGAGCAGACGACACACTAAGGGACATAAGTCTAATTTCTTACCATCTAGGCTGATATTGATCGCCATTGGAAATGCATTGACAATCCATATCCGCCTGGCAGGGTCTGGTTATTACACCTCCTGTGATGACCGTCTCCATGTTGGCTCTATCCCACACGCAAAATGCCTCATATCATTGATAGGAATATGGTAAATAATATATATTTCTCTCGTAATACTCGCAGTACAAACTTTTGAGAAAATACGAAGTCCTAAAGCTTTGTGAATTGTTACAAGCCTTAATAGCACTGTTAGAAATATAAAGTGTGTTAGTGAAACAACAGTATCAAAGATCAATAGCATAGATAGAAATACCTGGAATAATGAAGATAAATTCAAATACACCTTACCAAGGTGACAAGAAAGAAAATTTGTTTCAAAATATTTCTTCTTATCAAAATAATATACTTACCACCTGAAAGAAAATATTATCAGTAAGTGAATCCTGGGTTTTATTTTATTTGCCTTAACGAGAACCACAGCACGACACAATCACATATACCTGATAACGAATGTACAATATGCATTGCTTGGCATTGAAGGATATGTTTGTAAATACACAGCTATCTTAGTACTCATACTACTACCTTCTATTTACTCAATAGCTTTGAGTTCATACATCATACTGATTTGATTATTTATTTTGTTTAAATGCACAAAGTCATGACAAAATATGCCGATCTAAAAATATTGTGAACAAAAAATATCTTGAAGGTGTTATAGAAAAATATCTATTTGTAAATCAATTCTTCATCAAGATATTCCTTGCTGGAACTACATCAGCCACCCAGTGAAGAAACATATCCACAGTTCACTACCTCTGTCAATAACACGAGAAACATATCCACAGTTCACTACCTCTGTCAATAACACGAGAAACATATCCACAGTTCACTACCTCTGTCAATAACACGAGAAACATATCCACAGTTCACTTCCTCTGTCAGAAACACATCCACAGTTCACTACCTCTGTCAATAACATGAGAAACATATCCACAGTTCACTTCCTCTGTCAATAACACGAGAAACATATCCACAGTTCACTTCCTCTGTCAATAACACGAGAAACATATCCACAGTTCACTTCCTCTGTCAATAACACGAGAAACATATCCACAGTTCACTTCCTCTGTCAATAACACGAGAAACATACCTACAGAACAGTACACTACTTCTGTCAATAACACGAGAAATAACCTACAGTACACTACCTGTAAATAACACTAGAAAAACTAGCGGGAAATATGTATCAAAATCACCACTACACTAAATTGTTCTGGTAAAAATAAGTTATTAGTTTTGGCAGTTTCCATCTTTACAATTATACAACACATCAGAAAATACAGGTGGTAAAATCTCCTGTAAATAGATCCAGGGAGCTGTCTACAGCTTGGCAGGGCTTATACAAAGTACATGGTGTTCATCTGTAGGTACCTCAAGGGGGGGGGGGGGGGGGGGGCAAGGTTCATAGTCTTAGTTACCTAAAATCAAGCTTGCCACATTGTTGTTCAACTGTCAAGTCAAAGATGATAGTTATATCCGTCGAACATGCATACAGAAAATGTCTCAGTTTCTCACAAGGCACTTTTACGGTGTGTTGTGCAAAACTGGAAAATGTCACCCAACCGTATGGCATGGTCTCTCATTAATCCACAGGGGTGACGGGTTGCAAGAGGCTGTATGAAATCCAGACTATCATATTGAAAAGTGTATCACAAGACAATGTTTGGGCATTATTGCACAGAGCTGATATTATATATTCCAAATGCCGTACGAGTCTCATCAGGCCATAACTGAATAACGGACATGAAGTAACATATAGTTACATAACATTTAGGAAAACTATGACGTCACAATACCAAGGTGACAATGGACAAATAACTTACGCCTTTACATTTAACTTAGGCGCGTATTTATGAATGAATGGTGTTATTCAGTTATTGCCTGATGAGACTCGTACGTGGTACGAGTTGAAAGCGCTAGCCAATTAAAACTGTGTTCAATCTTACTCCACTTATTTAATTATTACTATATTGTGCCTGAGAGTTAGAACTTTACTGTGCTTTTTTTATATACACTTTGGTGAAACTCACGAGCACGGGTATGGTGCTGACAAAACTAGAAACATAATTGGGGTGAACCGGGATTTTCGAACCCGCAATCATAGGTTTCTGGCTTGCCCAAGGGACACAACTCTGCACAGCAAATTGCGACGGCGCCTTAGACGACTGGGCCACCCATGCCCCATACATCAATACCAAGTTACCTTCGGATGAATATGTCACAAGCACTGGGATAGCCCTTTTAATGCCATTTCCACACAGGGAAAACACCTGGCCATTCACCTTCAAATCTATCTGGAAACAGCTCCCCAACAGGTCCGAACCGTCATCAGTCAGTCCAAACTTTCAAAGCCTAATGCCATGAACATCCACTGAGATCAGGAAAAATGTACAAGTCAGTGACAACCACACATCCTAACATCCACACAGGACATGTATATATGTATATGACGACATCCTAGGTATGATTCAGTGATGAACAATTATGTTGAATAACATGGCGATACTAGCCGCCATGCTCATGAGAATCTTGCAGGATATCACCAACACATGAACAAGCGTAAAGGTTTGAAGTCATGTTTAGTGTCCGGAGGCGTCTGTGAAATGAAGCTAAGGGCTGCAATATGTGACGTTCTTCCAACAGCTAAATGCAATATTCTTAAAGATTCCAGTCCATGGATGGGACAATGGATCGCCAAAGTCACAAAGATTAAAGTGTCCTGAGTCAATAAAAAGTTCAAGTTCAAAAATGTAACTTGACACAATCCTATAACATTCATGGTTTGTGGAACACGTGTAACTTCATGACAACATCAATGTTGTTTCAAAAAGCTGAGCGTCTGAGGCAGTTTGAGTTTAGTTACATGATGTTGTTCAGAATCTGAGAGTATTCTCAAACAATGATTTGTGAAGCGTATAAGATTCAACATCTGTGGTATGAGTAATCTTCCTTTAAGCATCTTGTGAGTTATCTCCCTTGATACCAGTCTCTCATAAGAGTTCTTCATAACGATGTGTGCTAGCTCCCTCTACAGGAGTGGCAGCACTTGCTTCCGTAGAACTCATGCCCACAGATCTTGTGTATAGGAACTCTGTAACACCATGTGAACTCATCCTGACAGGCAGGGTCTGAAACAAGGCATATGATGTAAATCATGGTGTTTGTTGGATGCATCATAATTATGTTTTCATGATATTTGAAACCACATGCATCTATATATGTCTCACTCACACACACACACACACACACACACACACACACACACACACACACACACACACACACACACACACACACACACACACACACACACACACACACACACACACACACACACACACACACACACACACACACACACACACACACACACACACACACACACACACACACACACACACACACACACACACCTAATGAAACATTCTAGCCATATCATGGTGGAAAGTCAATAAATTGAGGCTGGACCATACAAACTCGTGACTTAAATTAACAGCAACAAAACACTCCATCAAGGCACAATGGCACACAATCAGCTGAGTTACCATGCCTCAGCATCTGATTCTCTTTAGTCATGCTCTGGGTTCTGATGTGATATGAAAAGTGAAACAGTACCTGGTGTTGGGCAGGGATGTTTGTGACACTGCCTCCTGACCAACGGTTTCTGGCCAGTGTCGCATCCGGTCGACAGTTTCCTGAGGTGGCGGTTGATGCAGTGCACCAGTCGAGTCTCCTCCCCGCTACCACAAGTCACCGAGCACTGAAACATGCCACCAGTATGTTTAAGAAGATCCCAAATTGATGACTTTCATGGTTTCAGTCTGTATTGCTCAAAGGCAATCATGGATTATCAGATTTATCTGCCCCTACCTGTGACCATGACGATGAGTGCCACTCTGGCGAGGATTGTCGTACACAGTCCCCCACCTGACAGTCGTTGTGCAGGGTGATGTTGGGGCGGGCAAGGTGTCGGCACTGGTGGAAGTCTACAGTGTGGAACCTCCCGACCCTATTACTCTTGCTGCAGCGCAGTTCTCGACGCTTTGTGCCGCTACCGCACGTCACCGAACACTGCAAGAGGAGAGACTCTGGGATAACAATCTTGAAACATAAAATACTTCTGGTTTTTGATAGTTAGTCTTCGTCATGTGATCTTCACCCTTATTACTCTTGATACTGCTACTGTTCTGGACTGTCCTGTATGAGAATTAAGGGCGGTCGGGTAGCCAAGTGGTTAAAGCATTCGCTTGTCACACCGAAGACCCGGGTTTGATTCCCGACATGGGTACAATGTGTGAAGCCCATTCCTGGTGTCCCCCGCCGTGATGTTGCTGGAATATGGCTAAAAGCAGCGTTAAACAATACTCACTCACTCACTCACTGTATGAGAATTATATAATTATAAAAAGTAGGGTCAATTTCAATGAATATTTTCTTATATTATCCACTGGCAACAAGATCAGTTTTTGATACTGTTAATACTAGTTAAATCTAGATATTTTTATATTTGTATACTTATCCTGCATTACTCCTTAATGCATTGACAGCTCATCTTTGACAATATAGTGAAAGCTGTGATTGATCCTGCTTGAAGAAATAAAGATGTTGTTCCGAAGCTGGACCCCCCAATCACTAGCTGCCACATCATACCAGAAGTGGTAGACATATGATGATTTCATATTACTGTTGGCCCCAGTAAATTGACTGAGGATATTCTAGTGGGGAGGCAGGTCTGTGACAGGTGGACCCTTAGACGTAGTAATGCAGGATAAGTATACAAATATAAAAAATGTCTAGATTTTTTTAACTTATCCTGCATTACTCCTTAATGCATCTGTATCCAATGGTATAGAGGCAGGAATACCTTCAGATCTATACTCGATAAAACTCTCGACTAAATGCCGTGTCAGCCGTAATTGCAATTCTTCTGCGCAGATCGGGAACTGATCGGCCAATCCTGTCCATGGACAGGTAACGAGAGTATGACTACGTCGGGGTAAACAAACAGTAAAAGCCAATAGCGTGCCCTAGGGTCTGGAACTGAGTCACCAAGCCATGATAGTGGTACAATTATCCAAACAAACGAGTGGACATATACTGGCTCTGGACATGATTCAACTGTTTTTATGGCGTCGTGAATGGGAAAATCATCCCTTCTAAATCTTGGCGCCTTAAAAGCTGGAGAGAGGGTTGAGAGAAATCCTTGTCCAGCGCTCTGACCATATCCTTTAACATCCGGTCAGGTGGGATGGATGTAGGGTGCGACCAGATCGTATCCCTCTTGTCGACATCTGAAACAGGGGACGGTGCTACCGCTGAGAGTCGGCCAGCCATTCAATCTGGCATCTGATTGAGGCCTAAGTGTGTACTGCACTCCGAGGGGTTGTCAAGCGACTCAGCTGTTGACACTTTGGAGGAGTCAGAACGGTGGACAGGCAAATGGCTCTTGGACCACCGGAGGTATTTAGACGCTCTGGATAGTCCTGCCAAGAGACAATGAGTCCCGTGACGTGGCCCCAGACCCAAGCTCATCCCTGGCATTGCCCTATCCATTGATGGGACCTTAAGAGTCACCGAAGATGCTATCAGTGCTTAGGGTATCGTACGAGCTTGGGTCAATGTATTCGTCTGAAGCTTAGGTGGTGCATAAGCCACCGAAGACGCTAAGACATTGTGCTTGATAAGCATGCGCAGGCGTCTGAACAAAGGGAGGCCTATGCACCTGTTGATACATGTATGATGTGGCAGCTAGTGATTGAGGGTCCTGCTACGGAACAACATCTTTATTTCTTCAAGCAGGATCAATCACAGCTTTCACTACTGTCAAAGGTGAGCAGTGAATGCATGAAAGAGTAATGCAGGATAAGTTAAAAAATTTAACCCATATGGTTGACTATGAACATGACCTGTCCCCATTGATCAACTATTTCAATACCAAATTATGAGAAAAGCCATGTATAATTGTGACAAGAACTGTCCAGATCTACTCATGTTGACTGATTTAACGGATATGTGAGATTTTCAGAAAACAATTTTTGTTTACACCAATTGTACAGAAAACAATGTGTAATTATAGAAAACCCAAATATCATAATCATTTGAACAAATATTGGTTCATATTGGTCTCAATTCTAATTGAAAAAAGAATCTGACATCTGTGACAACTAACCTGACCCCATGACGTGACAGCCCACTGAAGTTGAGGCACCACTGGACATTCAGAACGACGACACCTTTTGGAGCTCCGTGGCCGAGGGTTCTGCTGACACATACTGTCTGGCAGTAGCACCTGGCCTTGTAGTGTCTTGCTGCGACAAGTTATCTCCCTCTTCTTGACACCAATGCCACAAGTCGCTGAACACTGTGGACAAAATATGATCACCTCATTGACATGATGCCTGCTTCTATGGTGCATCAGTAAACTAATGCCAGCACTCAAGCGAGTGAATGTCAGCAATGTGGCGATTTCACGGTGATATGTAAGTGGCAAGTCTACACCAAACTTTCACGTATAGGGTACTGGGGACCCAATTTGCCCTGTATTCCCCACAGGAAATAAGCATTGGGTACTGGGGGCCTATTTTGCCCTGGAATCCCCACAGGGAGAAAAGCATGGGGTACTGGGGACCCAATTTGCCCTGTATTCCCCACAGGAAATAAGCATTGGGTACTGGGGGCCTATTCTGCCCTTGAATCCCCACAGAGAGAAAAGCATGGGGTACTGGGGACAGACATGTCTGGTTATGGTCACATCTATGTGTGAATAATTTGAAACATTTGAGTCTAAAGATTGGTTTCCATGCTATAACCTCAATGAAGTGGTAGGATGTGTTTAAGATTAAAATTATCCACAAGGATTTTACACAAATGTGTCAATATGTTTTTTATCTCAAACCTATTTTGATCAATGCGTCATACTGCAAAGCAAAACAATGTTGGAATATACACTTACAAAGGACCACTTGCCCTTCTTCCATTTTGGAGGACATTCCTGAGTATTACAACGCTGTCTGCGGGCTGGTTTAGAGGACCGAGTACAGAGACGGGGTTTGATCTTCTTGTCCAGGGTAGCAGACATCTTCTGTTTACAGACAACCTTCCTCTTGTGAACTCCACCACCACAGCTCTTGCTGCACTTGCCCCATGGGCCGTCTTCCCACCTAGGACAACACATTCATTTAGTATACTATTACTACATGACAAGCATAGGTTGGGGCGCCTATTCCAACCTGGAGACACCACAAGATTTGGCAGTTTTGTAAGTGAATGATGTTTTATGCTGCTGTCAAAAATTTTAGCAGCTATGTCTGTCTAACCAGTGGTTCCTGATTGATCATAAACAGCGTCAAGAATAATCCTTGCTTTCAGCATATGATGAAAAAATCACACATTGCAACTCACATTGACAAACACAGGTTCAACTAAATCTGCTGGATGAGTCCATGGATATTTCTGTGGTAACCTACACAACAATGATCCCTCCAGGACCACAAGCAAGAGTACCTTGGTGCACGTGGCTGGGAGTTGTGGGGGACAATAACATGAACAGACTGACAGTACCTTGGTGCACACGGCTGGGTGTTGTGGGGGACAATATCATGAACAGACTGACAGTACCTTGGCGCACACAGCTGGGTGTTGTGGGGGACAATAACATGAACAGACTGACAGTACCTTGGTGCACACGGCTGGGTGTTGTGGGGGACAATATCATGAACAGACTGACAGTACCTTGGTGCACACGGCTGGGTGTTGTGGGGGACAATATCATGAACAGACTGACAGTACCTTGGTGCACACGGCTGGGTGTTGTGGGGGACAATAACATGAACAGACTGACAGTACCTTGGTGCACACGGCTGGGTGTTGTGGGGGACAATATCATGAACAGACTGACAGTACCTTGGTGCACACGGCTGGGTGTTGTGGGGGACAATAACATGAACAGACTGACAGTACCTTGGTGCACACGGCTGGGTGTTGTGGGGGACAATAACATGAACAGACTGACAGTACCTTGGTGCACACGGCTGGGTGTTGTGGGGGACAATAACATGAACAGACTGACAGTACCTTGGTGCACACGGCTGGGTGTTGTGGGGGACAATATCATGAACAGACTGACAGTACCTTGGTGCACACGGCTGGGTGTTGTGGGGGACAATAACATGAACAGACTGACAGTACCTTGGTGCACACGGCTGGGTGTTGTGGGGGACAATAACATGAACAGACTGACAGTACCTTGGTGCACACGGCTGGGTGTTGTGGGGGACAATATCATGAACAGACTGACAGTACCTTGGTGCACACAGCTGGGAGTTGTGGGGGACAATAACATGAACAGACTGACAGTACCTTGGTGCACACGGCTGGGAGTTGTGGGGGACAATAACATGAACAGACTGACAGTACCTTGGCGCACACAGCTGGGAGTTGTGGGGGACAATATCATGAACAGACTGACAGTACCTTGGTGCACACGGCTGGGTGTTGTGGGGGACAATATCATGAACAGACTGACAGTACCTTGGCGCACACAGCTGGGTGTTGTGGGGGACAATATCATGAACAGACTGACAGTACCTTGGCGCACACAGCTGGGAGTTGTGGGGGACAATAACATGAACAGACTGACGGTACCTTGGCGCACACAGCTGGGAGTTGTGGGGGACAATATCATGAACAGACTGACAGTACCTTGGCGCACACAGCTGGGAGTTGTGGGGGACAATATCATGAACAGACTGACAGTACCTTGGCGCACACAGCTGGGTGTTGTGGGGGACAATATCATGAACAGACTGACAGTACCTTGGCGCACACGGCTGGGAGTTGTGGGGGACAATAACATGAACAGACTGACAGTACCTTGGCGCACACAGCTGGGAGTTGTGGGGGACAATAACATGAACAGACTGACGGTACCTTGGCGCACACAGCTGGGAGTTGTGGGGGACAATATCATGAACAGACTGACAGTACCTTGGCGCACACAGCTGGGAGTTGTGGGGGACAATATCATGAACAGACTGACAGTACCTTGGCGCACACAGCTGGGAGTTGTGGGGGACAATAACATGAACAGACTGACGGTACCTTGGCGCACACAGCTGGGAGTTGTGGGGGACAATATCATGAACAGACTGACAGTACCTTGGCGCACACAGCTGGGAGTTGTGGGGGACAATATCATGAACAGACTGACAGTACCTTGGCGCACACGGCTGGGTGTTGCAGGGGAAGGTTCCTGTGCGGGGTTTCCCCCGAGTGTCACAGTATCGAGGGTTCACTTCTTCCTGATCATTGCGGTTGCACTTGGCTGATGCAGTCTGCTCACCTTAGAACAAATGTACACGTGAAAAAAGAAAAAAGGCACTGTGTTTAACCAGAGCTGGATGTTTTATTTAGTAATTTTCATCTCAACCTAAGTAAGTGTGGCTAGATAAAATAGTCTTGTTGATGTGAGAGGACACAAGAATCTCAGTGTAATATGTTTGTTCTTCTTATGGCTGCTAGACTCATTCTTGATCAGTTTACTATCGAAATGTACCCTGGGTTCAAAACAATCTATCAAGTTAAACCTAGATTTCCATTGCCGTATCATTTTGTACTCAGATCAGTTTACCCCGATTTTTGTTACGACATCAAATGATTTTTCACCATTAGAGGAGATAACATTTTACACAAGGTCAATGTTGTTCACATAGACATAAATGATATTAAACACATCAGTAGACCTATGCCAAACTATATATTGTCTCCTGTGCAGAAAGCCATAATAATTGTATCTTGTGTCGAATGAACTAGTCAGTGACATTACATTGTTTAATAGAAAGTTCTCTTTGGGAAATTCTGGTGGCCATGTTGTTGAATGCCGTAAACCAATCATGGATTCATTTACGACATAGATTATAGCGAGATTTCCAAAATCAGGATACGCATAGATATAGTCTGGGTACAAAATGATACAGCAATGAAAATCTGGATACAACTTTGGCCTGTGACGGGTAACTCAGTTCTCAGGTTGGATGGGTACTGACTAGGATCTGTGTATCCACAGGACTACCCGGCCCGTGGTTAGTCACATGATATATTGTTTAATGACCAAAATTGACCATAACTTCAAGGTTACACTGCAAGCCACTAATGTTCCCATTTCTTTCTGACTATGCACATATACTGCTCAAAACAAACTAAGGACCACCCAAGTCTTGCATATTATTGTAGTTAATCTATCATGGCATGGCATTAAATATAGTAATATGAAAGAATGGGATGGTCCTTAACTTTCTTTGAGTAGTATATTCCTTCTGATATGTTCAACTTCAGCATATGCATGACCAGATTGTTTTATATGTGAGTCTAACTACTTCTTGCCAGGGCTCCATTATAACAATTCCCAATCGGGGCTTTTTCACCCAACTCTTGAGACCTACAGAGGGTACTGGGTAGTAAACATCTGTTTAGTACCAACGATACATTTTGATGGTAAACTGATCAAGAGTGACCCAAACTGGTTTATTATGCGGCACCAAGCAGTCACGGATTAGTGTCACTGCATTTGATGAAGCAGTTTCTGCTGTTGTGGTTTTGAATAACAGTACCTCCTGCACACTGCTGGTTGCAGTACGTCAGCACCACGGTCCAAGTGTAGTTGTGGGAGGGGGGTGCTGGGGTGGGCCGCGCCACCTTCTTGGGCATGGTGTACTCATACCGCACTCCTGTGTTTTGACCCTGCACCAGGATCTGAAATAAGGAGACAGGCTTAATATTCCTTTTCTAAATTGTTTTTCCAGCTACAACCTATTGTTTGCTTTTGGATATTCATATTGCAATGAAAAATGTGCTTCCTAAGGTTGTGAATTTACCTTTTACTATGAAAAAGAATGAGTGACATGTGTTTAGCAATAGTAATATCACATTTATGGTGCCTTCTTCAGATGCAAACCTAAGAGCCAGATAATAATTTTGCTTCATGTTACAGGTACATATGAAACATCAATTTTACTACATGTATTCGTACTTCAGACTATGTATATCTATTTCATGTGGAGTTTCCCTTGTGACTTGGGTCCAGGGCTGAATGTTCTACATACAGATGGCAAACCATATCACCTTGACATCAAAAAGCAGGATGAGGTGTTTCCTCCCCTCCCCTCCCCTACAACCTACCTCCAGTACAGAGAACACCCTACCCTCCCCTACAGCCTGCCTCCAGCACAGAGAACACCCTACCCTACCCTACCATACCCTCCCCTACAACCTACATCCAGTACAGAGAACACCCTACCCTACCCTACCCTACAACCTACATCCAGTACAGAGAACACCCTACCCTACCCTACCATACCCTCCCCTACAACCTACATCCAGTACAGAGAACACCCTACCCTACCCTACCCTCCCCTACAACCTACATCCAGTACAGAGGACACCCTACCCTCCCCTACAACCTACCTCCAGCACAGAGAACACCCTACCCTACCCTACCATACCCTCCCCTACAACCTACATCCAGTACAGAGAACACCCTACCCTCCCCTACAGCCTACCTCCAGCACAGAGAACACCCTACCCTCCCCTACAACCTACCTCCAGTAGAGAGAACACCCTACCCTCCCCTACAGCCTGCCTCCAGCACAGAGAACACCCTACCCTACCCTACCCTACCCTCCCCTACAGCCTACCTCCAGCACAGAGAACACCCTACCCTCCCCTACAGCCTACCTCCAGTACAGAGAACACCCTACCCTCCCCTACAGCCTACCTCCAGTACAGAGAACACCCTACCCTCCCCTTCAGCCTACCTCCAGCACAGAGAACACCCTACCCTCCCCTACAACCTACCTCCAGTACAGAGAACACCCTACCCTCCCCTACAGCCTACCTCCAGTACAGAGAACACCCTACGTTCCCCTACAGCCTACCTCCAGCACCTGATTCTCCCTACCCTCCGCTACAGCCTGCCTCCAGCACAGAGAACACCCTACCCTCCGCTACAGCCTGCCTCCAGCACAGAGAACACCCTACCCTCCCCTACAGCCTACCCCCAGCAACATATTCCCCCTACCCTCCCCTACAACCAACCTCCAACACCAGATCCTCTTGGAGCGGTCCCTGGCTGTAGAGACTTTCTGGGCGGTCATAGGGTCGTTTGTAGGTGAAGCGTGTTCCACCAATCTTGTGTATCCCAGCCCAGTCCAGCTTCCACTTGCCATTGAGGTAGTATCGGCCATAGATGTTCTTCAGAGAAAGGTAGTTGGGGGAGACCTCCTCCTCCTGGATGCTGATGCTCCGGGCCCCTTTAGGGAGAACCACGATCGGGTAGTAGGCTGAGGGAACAATTCAGGGGCGTTACAAATGATAGAATTGTTGAAGCACCAAACATCAATTAATAATATCAACACCATCCTACAACTAATTATCTAGTTTTCAGGTCATATTTATCCAAAATACACTTGTTTCAAGGGACATATTGATATCCACACCTTCATAACTCTACAAAAACTAACCAGTGGTAAAATGCAAACTTTGATAAAAAAAATATATTTGCAATCAGCAATGAGCACTTATTGAAGCATTTACAAATATCAAGAACAAAAGTTATGCAGTGAAAATTCTTAAATTATTTGGTTGGGTAGTTGATGAATAAAAAAGGCATCCTTACTATTGTGTTTTGGCTGCTCCTTGAATGATCCAGTCATGAGTTCACAAGTTGAGTTATCTCCCTTGCACACACCACATCGGTCCAACCTGGCTGGCGACTTGACAACCAGATCACAACCTACCGGCTGAAGTTATACATTGTGATGTTAATGTGCAATATCTAACTTCAGTGTTGCAAATATGATAAACACAGTGACATGACTCCTTAGGTCACCAGGTAACATAAAATTACATATTCTACAACAGCCAACAATGGCAACATATCACAAACATAAGTTTACAATGTGTAATTATTTTAAGGTAATTAATTTCACACAATAAGGCTTTACTGCATATGGCCATTTTCTTATTACCAAATACAAGTGGGTACATTTCATTATATCGATATCAAAATGATACTGACGAATAAGAAATCTTCTGTTGGCTCAGTACACAGATGAACAACGTGAACATCACTGACCTGGCAGCTGCCCTTGACACAGATGTCGTCGGTGTCGTCGCTGCATGGGGTGCCGTCCTTCACCTCATCACTCATGGCAAAGAAGAAGTTGTAATCCTTGGCCTGGCAGTAGAGCTTGCACTGGTCATCAACTGTGTACAGACAGACACACAGTTTGACTATATTGCTCATTAACTGTGTACAGATATACCACATACCATAGGTGGGTCCAGAAGGGGGTGCAGTATTCTTTCCCCCCTCCCCCCCAACATTCTTTAAACAGCAAGATTGAATTTCATGTTGTTTATTTTCAGAGTAAACGTATGACCATTAGAGCAATGTCTTGCCTTGTAACTCTGAACAGTGGGAACACTCCCACCTCAAATTTAAGAATTGAGATTTTTAATCATCCATTGAACTGCTCCCTTCCAGGCACACAGGAATCCAACTCACTGTTCTTGACGTCCTTGTAGGGCACCCACTGGTAGTAGTGTCCGCGGAACAACTCATGGTTGTACACCTCACACTGCTCTGTGCGGAAGTCTTTGCTGCCACGCCCACACGCCTGCAGACTGCACATCTTGGACATCTCCCGCTCACCACCACATGTCTTCCCACCATACTGGGGCCTGAGGAGGATAGAAGCTGTGGTTAGTGTCTTACCACCATACTGGGGCCTGAGGAGGATAGACGCTGTGGTTAGTGTCTTACCACCATACTGGGGCCTGAGGGGGATAGAAGCTGTGGTTAGTGTCTTACCACCATACTGGGGCCTGAGGAGGATAGAAGCTGTGGGTTAGTGTCTTACCACCATACTGGGGCCTGAGGGGGATAGAAGCTGTGGGTTAGTGTCTTACCACCATACTGGGGCCTGAGGAGGATAGAAGCTGTGGTTAGTGTCTTACCACCATACTGCGGCCTGAGGGGGATAGAAGCTGTGGGTTAGTGTCTTACCACCATACTGGGGCCTGAGGGGGATAGAAGCTGTGGGTTAGTGTCTTACCACCATACTGGGGCCTGAGGAGGATAGACGCTGTGGTTAGTGTCTTACCACCATACTGGGGCCTGAGGAGGATAGAAGCTGTGGGTTAGTGTCTTACCACCATACTGGGGCCTGAGGAGGATAGACGCTGTGGTTAGTGTCTTACCACCATACTGCGGCCTGAGGGGGATAGAAGCTGTGGGTTAGTGTCTTACCACCATACTGGGGCCTGAGGGGGATAGAAGCTGTGGGTTAGTGTCTTACCACCATACTGGGGCCTGAGGAGGATAGAAGCTGTGGTTAGTGTCTTACCACCATACTGCGGCCTGAGGGGGATAGAAGCTGTGGGTTAGTGTCTTACCACCATACTGGGGCCTGAGGGGGATAGAAGCTGTGGGTTAGTGTCTTACCACCATACTGCGGCCTGAGGGGGATAGAAGCTGTGGTTAGTGTCTTACCACCATACTGCGGCCTGAGGGGGATAGAAGCTGTGGTTAGTGTCTTACCACCATACTGGGGCCTGAGGAGGATAGAAGCTGTGGGTTAGTGTCTTACCACCATACTGGGGCCTGAGGAGGATAGAAGCTGTGGGTTAGTGTCTTACAACCATACTGGGGCCTGAGGGGGATAGAAGCTGTGGGTTAGTGTCTTACCACCATACTGGGGCCTGAGGAGGATAGAAGCTGTGGGTTAGTGTCTTACCACCATACTGGGGCCTGAGGGGGATAGAAGCTGTGGTTAGTGTCTTACCACCATACTGGGGCCTGAGGAGGATAGACGCTGTGGTTAGTGTCTTCCCACCATACTGGGGCCTGAGGGGGATAGAAGCTGTGGGTTAGTGTCTTCCCACCATACTGCGGCCTGAGGAGGATAGAAGCTGTGGTGAGTGTCTTACCACCATACTGGGGCCTGAAGGGGATAGAAGCTGTGGGTGAGTGTCTTACCACCATACTGGGGCCTGAGGGGGATAGAAGCTGTGGGTTAGTGTCTTACCACCATACTGGGGCCTGAGGGGGATACAAGCTGTGGTTAGTGTCTTCCCACCATACTGGGGCCTGAGGGGGATACAAGCTGTGGGTTAGTGTCTTACCACCATACTGGGGCCTGAAGGGGATACAAGCTGTGGTTAGTGTCTTACCACCATACTGGGGCCTGAGGGGGATAGAAGCTGTGGGTTATTGTCTTCCCACCATACTGCGGCCTGAGGGGGATAGAAGCTGTGGGTGAGTGTCTTACCACCATACTGGGGCCTGAGGGGGATAGACGCTGTGGGTTAGTGTCTTACCACCATACTGGGGCCTGAGGGGGATAGAAGCTGTGGTTAGTGTCTTCCCACCATACTGGGGCCTGAGGGGCATAGAAGCTGTGGGTTAGTGTCTTACCACCATACTGGGGCCTGAGGGGGATAGAAGCTGTGGTTAGTGTCTTACCACCATACGGGGGCCTGAGGGGGATAGAAGCTGTGGGTGAGTGTCTCCCACCATACTGGGGCCTGAGGGGGATACAAGCTGTGGGTGAGTGTCTCCCACCATACTGGGGCCTGAGGGGGATAGAAGCTGTGGGTTAGTGTCTTACCACCATACGGGGGCCTGAGGGGGATAGAAGCTGTGGGTGAGTGTCTCCCACCATACTGGGGCCTGAGGGGATACAAGCTGTGGGTGAGTGTCTCCCATCCTACTGGGGCCTGAGGGCAAGGCTAGCTGTATATTAGTGTTTTGCACCTTATTGTGGTATAGGGAAGCTGTAGCTTAGTGTCCAAGTCAGAGCAGGGAGATCCCTTGCACAGTCCATTTCTTGCCTCCAAACTGGAGACAAGGGGGCAAGGGCGACCACTGAACATTTTGGCCTGGGTAGTAGGGTAGTTGTGACATAGGTAATGAAGAGTGATGGTCAACACTTCCCATTCTAGTCTGCAGTACATTTGCTCGTCAGGACACAACACATATGTCCATAGTATCTGAATATAGATATATCAAATCCAAAACACAGATATCAGTTTTGTATAAAACACTATGGATTCTCAGGCAATCAACATTTAAAAACTGGTGCAAATGGGACAATTTAGGGAGAAAATGAATGTGTACAGTTTTATCCAAACATGCTTCTTCTGATCAGCATTTTCAACACCTGAAACCTGATCCATCACCTACTCACAGAGGATTATTACACTGCCTGGACCGATGCTTGATGCCACCCCCACAGCTGCGAGTACATGTAGTCCACTCACTCCATGTTGACCAGTCGCCATCAACCTGCTGCGGCCCTTCATTGCCATACTTCACACACTTGCCATGGCGGCACCACTAGATACACAACAGAGGCATGTCTCAACACAAGGACAACATCTCGCCAGTAAACAGACTCATTAAGTCATCATCATCCTTGTTACAACACAAAGTGAACCTTATTAATCAGTCTGACATATTGTTGCAGACAATCCTTATCGGTGCATTAGTCTAAAACCAGTTTTCCACTTGTTATATACACTGATACAGGTAATTCAATATATCTTCAATGTTCCTTGGACGTCAAGTTAGTGAGATTTCACTTTATCATCCAAAACTGGCTCCCACAGGAGATATCGCTTGGGAGAGATCATGCGATATCTACACTGTAGATATCGCTGCAATGAAATTGGATCACAATGCTTTGCAGACCATTGTGACATCATTGGTTACTATGACGTCACAATCAAATGACATCACTAATGGCTCTGCTACTGAAGCTGTAAGCATTACTTTTTACACTGAAGACACTGCTTATTACTGTCTACAAACTGAAAAAGTTGGAAAAATGATGTTGGATGATGAACAAAATCTCACCCTCTTGTCTTTTGATATCAACTATATCAACACTCGTTGATAAAAGTAGAAAACCTCCTCGTCAAGCCTTGGTGTTTTTTCACTTTTATCAACTCGTGTTGATGTATTTGATATGAAAAGACAAGAGGGTGAGATTCTCTATGTATATATGAATTGTAACTTTAATATTAATTACATTGATATGAGGAACAAGTTCCTCAGGGCAAGATTATCTTAATTTCCACTGCTTATGTAAAATGTTTTTTGGGGCTTGTAGACATACCTTTTCAGAGCCACATGATGTTCCTTCAGCAGCAGGAAGGAACTTGGTCTCACACAGGGTATCGCCCTTGAAGCACCACAGGCTCTTGCAGATCTCTCTCTGAAATGCAAAAGAGTGGTTAATGTATGTTACCTTTTCAGACTGAATACTTACAGGTGGGAGAATGAAAATATTATTTCCAGCAACATGTTAACTCTTCCCAACGAGTGTACAATCATTCAGTTATTGATCGTGTAGATGATACAGTCAATTCAGTATATACTTCTCAACTTCAGACAGGGATAATCAGATGTCATTTAATTATACACTTGACACTTGAGAATAATTATTGTGCATCATGGAAAGACAGAAATAACCCTATCAAAAGTGGAGTAGTATAATTAATTTCAAAGATATAATACTGTTTTTAAAAAAGAACAATTTGTTTTGAGCTTAATAATTTCAGTTGATATACTATATACATGTATAAATTGAGAAGAAAACAAAATTAAAGTGTTGGCTTTAATTAGACGAAAAACAGTCAAGCTGCCCAGAGGCTTATCACTTAAGGTGTTAGATTTGAAAGACATTTCAGTAGGAACAGAACGCCCTCACCTTGCCAAAGTCAAATGTGCATACTCGGGCACTGAGACCAAACTGCCACTTGCACTGGATGTCTGCGTTGAACAGCTGACCAGGCAATTTTTCTGGGAATTTGAGCTCTGCTACTCGCTGAGGTTCATTAGTCAGACACTGTGACTGAACTGTGCTACCAACAAACAACACAACATCATCAGTTGACATACACTTGGGCAGCAGGATATATGAGATATATTGAAACAGTGTATATCTCTGGCATGGACTAGGCCATAGAAGGACATCTCTGGGTTGGGCCCTAGGACATGGGACATCTCTCGGTTGGGCCCTGGGACACAAGGCATCTCTGGGTTGGGCCCTAGGACATGGGACATCTCTGGGTTGGGCCCTGGGATGTGGGGCTTCTCTGGGTTGGGCCCTGGGACGTGGGGCATCTCTGGGTTGGGCCCTGGGACATAGGACATCTGTTTTTTGGGCCCTAGGACATTGGGCATCTCTCGGTTGGGCCCTGGGACATGGAACATCTCTGGGTTGGTCCCTGGGAAAACCCTGGGTTGGGCCCTAGGACATGGGGCATCTCTGGGTTGGGGCCTGGGACGTGGGGCATCTCTGGGTTGGGCCCTGAGACACAGGACATATCTGGGTTGGGCCCTAGGACATGGGGCATCTCTGGGTTGGGCCCTGGGACATGGGGCATCTCTGGGTTGGGCCCTGGGATGTGGGGCTTCTCTGGGTTGGGCCCTAGGACATGGGGCATCTCTGGGTTGGGCCCTGGGACATGGGGCATCTCTGGGTTGGGCCCTGGGACATGGGGCATCTCTGGGTTGGGCCCTGGGACATGGGGCATCTCTGGGTTGGGCCCTGGGACATGGGGCATCTCTGGGTTGGGCCCTGGGACATGGGGCATCTCTGGGTTGGGCCCTTGGACATGGGGCATCTCTGGGTTGGGCCCTGGGACATGGGGCATCTCTGGGTTGGGCCCTGGGACATGGGGCATCTCTGGGTTGGGCCCTGGGACATGGGGCATCTCTGGGTTGGGCCCTAGGACATGGGGCATCTCTGGGTTGGGCCCTGGGACATGGGGCATCTCTGGGTTGGGCCCTGGGGCATCTCTGGGTTGGGCCCTGGGACATGGGGCATCTCTGGGTTGGGCCCTAGGACATGGGGCATCTCTGGGTTGGGCCCTGGGACATGGGGCATCTCTGGGTTGGGCCCATGGACATGGGGCATCTCTGGGTTGGGCCCTGGGACATGGGGCATCTCTGGGTTGGGCCCTTGGACATGGGGCATCTCTGGGTTGGGCCCTGGGACATGGGGCATCTCTGGGTTGGGCCCTGGGACATGGGGCATCTCTGGGTTGGGCCCTGGGACATGGGGCATCTCTGGGTTGGGCCCTAGGACATGGGGCATCTCTGGGTTGGGCCCTGGGACATGGGGCATCTCTGGGTTGGGCCCTGGGGCATCTCTGGGTTGGGCCCTGGGACATGGGGCATCTCTGGGTTGGGCCCTGGGACATGGGGCATCTCTGGGTTGGGCCCTGGGACATGGGGCATCTCTGGGTTGGGCCCTGGGACATGGGGCATCTCTGGGTTGGGCCCATGGACATGGGGCATCTCTGGGTTGGGCCCTGGGACATGGGGCATCTCTGGGTTGGGCCCTAGGACATGGGGCATCTCTGGGTTGGGCCCTGGGACATGGGGCATCTCTGGGTTGGGCCCTAGGACATGGGGCATCTCTGGGTTGGGCCCTGGGACATGGGGCATCACTGGGTTGGGCCCTAGGACATGGGGCATCTCTGGGTTGGGCCCTGGGACATGGGGCATCTCTGGGTTGGGCCCTGGGACATGGGGCATCTCTGGGTTGGGCCCTGGGACATGGGGCATCTCTGGGTTGGGCCCTGGGATGTGGGGCTTCTCTGGGTTTGGCCTTGGGACATGGGGCATCTCTGGGTTGGGCCCTAGGACATGGGACATCTCTGGGTTGGGCCCTGGGACATTTGGCATCTCTCGGTTGGGCCCTAGGACATGGAACATCTCTGGGTTGGTCCCTGGGAAAACCCTGGGTTGGGCCCTAGGACATGGGGCATCTCTGGGTTGGGCCCTGGGACGTGGGGCATCTCTGGGTTGGGCCCTGGGACATGGGACATCTCTGGGTTGGTCCCTGGGACATGGGGCATCTCTGGGTTGGTCCCAGTATCCCAGCAGGGACAAAAAGACTAGGGGTGTCAAGATAAATCGAAATATCAATATATTGCTATTGATAAGCACTTAAAGTTAATAAATCGATTGTTAAATCAGTTTCCGATCAATAGTATCGATTTCAGTTAGGAATATCAATAGTTTAGATTGTATTTACCATATCAATAAAATACATACATGTTCAAATTTGTTTTTCTTTTGATCATGAGTGGTAGTTATTTACACATGGTAATGTGGAAGTTCCTTTTTCTTAAATTATTTGGGTAAAGAAAAAACAAATCAGTCATATCTCAAACGTTACTTTTTATTTGTTGTTATGGTTATCACATTCAAAGGAAGCTTCAGTTCCAAGGTTTAATTCAACTCTAAAATCCATCTAAAATGATACACTGAAAACTATCGATATTTATCGCAATAGTTGCTTGCAATATCAATAGTTATCGCAATAGTTGCTTGCAATATCAATAGTTATCGCAATAGTTTCTTTCATTATCAATAGTTATCGCAATAGCGATTTCCAGACCAATAGTCACCCCTAAAAAAGACCAGTATTTCATTGGTTGCCACCACTTCCTCAGGTAGGTGGGCTCTCGCTGTAATATCATGCAATAATCAAGGCAATTCTGGGATTTGAAACCACAATCACACACAGCTGATGGGTACAAGGTATATAATAGGTATATCCTACTTTAGGAATTTATGGAGATAACCTCTGCTACAAGATGACCATTGGAAGAGTCCATTCTGACCAGTGAGGGTGGGAGACATGATGTTACCAGCTGTCCTCTTGCAGAAGTTGCCCTCCCCATCATGGAACATTCCAAAGCTATAAAATATAATAAAAATGTAAGAAGCAGAGAAAAGAAGATTTATATTCTTTGTTGTTTCCTGTTAATATGCTTTCAATAACTTTCCAACCAGAGACACACCAATGCTCAGCTCTTGAATAGCAGTGACATGATAACAATTAACAACCTCTCAATCTTAGTGCTTGTTATTGATATGCAAAGAGTGAGTGAGTATGGTGTTACGCCGCTTTTAGCAATATTCCAGCAATATCACGGCGAGGGACACCAGAAATGGGCTTCACACATTGTACCCATGTGGGAAATCGAACCCGGGTCTTCAGCGTGATGACTGAATGCTTTAACCACAAAGCTACCCGACCGCCCCGATATGCATAATAGTCATGCAGTTGTAAAGATGTCTGCCACCTTGGGGAAACCTACAAACACTGGTATGGTACTGACAAACCTGGAAACAATCAACCAGTATTGGAAGCAATCATAGGTTTCCAGCATACCTAATTGCAACTATGCACAGTGAATTGCGTCGCCTAAGACTGCTCCGACACAGAAATATGAATACGCTATTCACATTTGCATAAATAATAACACTTACAGGGTTTTAATTCAAATGAAAAGCTATGCTATTGAAGCTATATTTTCCCCACAAACAAAGAGCAAGGTAATAGCTGTTGGTGAAACTACCACCACTTAAAGACCCACTCGAGCTGTTTATAACAATTTGTCTAAAAGTATGACCTGCTAGAGAGCGGCATGTTCAAAGAGTTCACATTCTGAAGCGGCCACAAGAAAGGAGAAGGGAGGTCTCGTATAAGGAAAAACTTAAAGATACTTTATTATTTTTTATCATATGCCCCAGGGAATGATAAATAGAAAGGCACTCTATGTTCAATACCTCACACACACAGCTGTAGTCCACATTAAACAGTTCCAAGGAGCATGTCAGTAGCTGTCAACCATTACTATAACAGGTCAGATAAACTAAGGGGACAGGTGCTCACTTAATGCTTTTATTTGCATAGGCATCCAACACTTCATGACAGCAAATACCTGACACTGTGGGTAGTAACAGTGGTAGTAACAGTACAACCAAGCGAATGAGCCCCTTGAAGTAGTCACATAACAGACTGCATGGTTGTTATACTACGTACCACATATAACTGATATTGCAGATGTGTTCGGTTAGTATTGGTTACATTATTTATCACATACCTATCAAAGATATGAGGCAATTTGCATGTGTGATAGAGCCAACATAGAGACGGTCATATCACTGGGGGTGTAATAACCACACCCATATCACTCTCTACTGGACTGATATGGCTTGTTTATATTGGATTTTATTGGAGTTTCTTCCCTTTGTGTGTTGTCTACTTGTCTGCTCGGCTAGCTTCCCTTTGACAATATCTTCCAAACAAGGTGAAAATGTATCGCATTCACTTGCAAATAGATACATTTCATAATTTGAGTTTATGGTATATGACAAAATGTTTATTATGCGCCAGTTTTTAAATCATACCAGATATCAGCCTCTGGCCTTCAACACTTGGGCTGATCTGGGGGTCTCAGATTGATATGGAAACCGCAGTAAAATAACCTCTAAATATCACATACAGATGATATTGCATACTTGTATATATATTATTTATGTGCCACTGGCCTAAAGTGGAAATAAGAACTGAATATATATTATGTATTACACAAAATCATTTAAATTTTTTTTGAATTGCTAATGGACCTACTTGTGTCCAATCTCATGTGCAATGGTGAAGGCTGTGGCAAGTCCTGTGTCTTCATTGACCACACAGCTACGCAAGGGGTTACACATCCCTTTGATAGGAGCAAAACCTGTTGGAAAAGAATATCACAATATAAAGTCGTGGTTTAAAATTGAACCACAGCCACTATATCAATTGTTTTTCAGTAACATGAAATCACTTGGAGCCCTTGCAAGGGACACCACACAGAGCATAACCCTGCTAAGGAGACACCAACCCCAGCAACACATGGAGCCCCTGCTAAGGACACCTACCCCAGTAACACATGGAGCTCCTGCTGAAGGACACCTACCCCAGTAACACATGGAACCGCTGCTAAGGACACCTACCCCAGTAACACATGGAGCTCCTGCTGAAGGACACCTACCCCAGTAACACATGGAGCCCCTGCTAAGGAGATACCAACCCCAGTATTATATGGAGCCCCTGCTAAGGACACCTACCCCAGCAACACATGGAGCCCCTGCTAAGGAGATACCAACCCCAGTAATATATGGAGCCCCTGCTAAGGACACCTACCCCAGTAACACATGGAGCTCCTGCTGAAGGACACCTACCCCAGTAACACATGGAACCGCTGCTGAGGTGACACCAACCCCTTTATGACATGGGGCCCCTGCTAAGGAGAAACCTACCCCAGTAACACATGGAGCCCCTGCTGAAAGACACCTACCCCAGTAACACATGGAGCCCCTGCTGAAAGACACCTACCCCAGTAACACATTGAACCCCTGCTGAAGGACACCTACCCCAGTAACACATTGAACCCCTGCTGAAGGACACCTACCCCAGCAACACATGGAGCCCCTGCTAAGGAGACACCTACCCCAGTAACACATGGAGCCCCTGCTGAAAGACACCTACCCCAGTAACACATTGAACCCCTGCTGAAGGACACCTACCCCAGTAACACATTGAACCCCTGCTGAAGGACACCTACCCCAGTAACCCATTGAACCCCTGCTGAAGGACACCTACCCCAGCAACACATGGAACCACTGCTAAAGGACACCTACCCCGGTAACACATGGAACCCCTGCTAAAAGACACCTACCCCAGCAACACATGAAGCTCCTGCTAAGGAGACACCAATCCCTTTATGACATGGGGCCCCTACTAAGGAGACACCTACCCCTTTATAACATGGGGCCCCTGCTAAGGAGACACCTACCCCTTTATAACATGGGGCCCCTGCTAGGGAGACACCTACCCCTTTATGACATGGGGTCCCTGCTAGGGAGACACCTACCCCAGTAACACATTGAACCCCTGCTGAAGGACACCTACCCCAGTAACCCATTGAACCCCTGCTGAAGGACACCTACCCCAGCAACACATGGAACCACTGCTAAAGGACACCTACCCCGGTAACACATGGAACCCCTGCTAAAAGACACCTACCCTAGCAACACATGAAGCTCCTGCTAAGGAGACACCAATCCCTTTATGACATGGGGCCCCTACTAAGGAGACACCTACCCCTTTATGACATGGGGACCCTGCTAGGGAGACACCTACCCCAGTAACATATGGGGCCCCTGCTAGGGAGACACCTACCCCTTTATGACATGGGGACCCTGCTAGGGAGACACCTACCCCAGTAACATATGGGGCCCCTGCTAGGGAGACACCTACCCCTTTATAACATGGGGCCCCTGCTAGGGAGACACCTACCCCTTTATGACATGGGGACCCTGCTAGGAAGACACCTATCCCTTTATGACATGGGGCCCCTGCTAGGAAGACACCTACCCCAGTAACATATGGGGCCCCTGCTAGGGAGACACCTACCCCTTTATGACATGGGGACCCTGCTAGGGAGACACCTACCCCTTTATGACATGGGGACCCTGCTAGGGAGACACCTACCCCTTTATGACATGGGGACCCTGCTAAGGAGACACCTACCCCTTTATGACATGGGGCCCCTGCTAGGGAGGCACCTACCCCTTTATGACATGGGGACCCTGCTAAGGAGACACCTACCCCTTTATGACATGGGGCCCCTGCTAGGGAGGCACCTACCCCTTTATGACATGGGGACCCTGCTAGGGAGACACCTACCCCTTTATGACATGGGGACCCTGCTAGGGAGACACCTACCCCTTTATGACATGGGGACCCTGCTAGGGAGACACCTACCCCTTTATGACATGGGGTCCCTGCTAAGGAGACACCTACCCCTTTATGACATGGGGACCCTGCTAAGGAGACACCTACCCCTTTATGACATGGGGTCCCTGCTAAGGAGACACCTACCCCTTTATGACATGGGGCCCCTGCTAGGGAGACACCTACCCCTTTATGACATGGGGCCCCTGCTAGGGAGACACCTACCCCTTTATGACATGGGGACCCTGCTAGGGAGACACCTACCCCTTTATGACATGGGGACCCTGCTAAGGAGACACCTACCCCTTTATGACATGGGGACCCTGCTAGGGAGACACCTACCCCTTTATGACATGGGGACCCTGCTAAGGAGACACCTACCCCTTTATGACATGGGGACCCTGCTAAGGAGACACCTACCCCTTTATGACATGGAGCCCCTGCTAAGGAGACACCTACCCCTTTATGACATGGGGACCCTGCTAGGGAGACACCTACCCCAGTAACATAGATACCTACCAAGAGTATCACATGGAGCATTCTTGTAGGAGCAGATATCCATGCCAGTGAGGAGAATGGCATGGTCGTGATTACTACCGCTGGAGCTGATGAGAACTGACTGCCACTGACAGAAGCTGTTAAGGGTGTGGTCAGCATGGAAGTTGACTTGCAGGCCAGGCTAGATGGAGGGAATAGAATTAAATATCAATGTGAAAGACAATTGTGAAAAACATGAGTTAGGTGAGGTGAAATGGGGTTTTCATGTCTCTCAAGTATATTGCACTTATATAGTGACGTGGTTGCATATGTGTGTTTGGCTGCTTGTGTAAGTCAGGACTTAGGCTGGTTTTATAGTGCCAGCGGCCTAAGACATCCAACTCAGACACAGTATATAATGACCCTGAGTCGACAAGTCCTCATTCCCATATAATACTGCACGCCCAGCGGGATATATTCATGGACCATCTTTTAGTGTCTTTTGGTATGACACGGCCAGAGGATCAAACTACTGGCCTTATGCTCTCCAGGCAGATGCTCTATCCACTAGACCACAGAGGTGGTCCTCTTCAATGAAAAACAGAAGTAGCAGAATTTGTTCAGATAAATGGATGAAGCACTTGTAAAATATTACATGACTCCACTGGATGTTCAGTGATCTTGCATCGTAACAATGCCAAACAATCAGCTACATTGTTTGATACCTTTCTTACATATTACAATAAAGAACATTGTTTGATGCATGTCATTCATGATATAACAATAAAGAACATTGTTTTATGAATTTCCTCACATATTACAATAAACAACTTTGTTTGATGCATGTCATTCATGATATAACAATAAAGAACATTGTTTTATGAATTTCCTCACATATTACAATAAACAACATTGTTTGATGCATGTCATTCATGATATAATGTCATCCTTGATATAACAATCAAGAACATTGTTTTATGCCTTTCCTCACATATTACAATAAGCAACATTGTCATATCATGGATGACATGCATCAAACAATCAAGAACATTATTTTATATCTTTCGTCACATTCTACAATAAGCAACATTGCTTGATGCTTGTTATCGCTGTTATATCAAGAACATTGTAGAATGTGAGGAAAGGCACAAAGCAATCAGCAACACCGAGTTACGTACCTCATCCCCCTCCAGCAGTACTAGGCCGACCAGCACGATGTCCACCTGGTTGCCGATACTGGTGTCCTGGAACAACTCTGACACCTGCGGAGGGGAGCTTAGATAAATACATAATATTCACATGCATCTCATCCTGCCACGCGTATGTGTTATTATTTGGATTTTCTGATCCTGTAGAGGTTGTATGTAGTGAAGAAATTACCTACAATTTCAAACATATAGTCAGCAAAGAAAATGTAGGATGTACCATATATCATGGGGTACATATCAAGGTGTAAAGACCAAACTTCCAACAGAGAAGAAGAGGCATATGCCCCATACAAAAATTCACCAATATTCACTGTGTTTCTTTTTGTTAATGTGACATAAACATCTACCATGACAAATTATCACAATGATTCAGAGGGGCGGTCGGGTAGACTAGTGGTTAAAGCATTCACTTGTCACGCTGAAGACCTGTTTTTGATTCCTGACATGGGTACTATGTGTGAAGCCCATTTCTGGTGTCCCCTGCGGGGATATTGCTGGAATATTGCTAAAAGCGGCGTAAAACCATACTCACTCGCTCTCTCCCCGAACGCCTGCCCGCCCGCCCGCCCACCCGCCCGCCCACCCACTCACCTACTCACTCACACTGTTTCAGGCTTTGAACACAATAACAATCTCAGCCACTCAAAACAAACAATAAGTTTTTGGGTGGCCTTGGCAGAAGTATGTCTTAGGTCACATCTCAAGAGTGGGTCTTTCTCTTACTTCATTAATAATGACCATCATGGCCACCCAATCAACAATTACATTGGCTCTTATGTCAAAAATGGGGTTATTGGGAACCTGAGGACAAATTTTTCCAGTTTTTTGAGAAACAGATTAATCCCAAATGGTCAGCCGTTCATATCCAAAGATGACTGTATTCTTTGTCCATGACACACTTACAATATTGAAGATGCTGAGGACGTAGGTAGTGATGTTGTCTCGGCCATGCTTCCAGAACATGGCCTTGTCCACCACCACCAGGGTCTCCACCGTTCGGTCATGTGGGCTGCCGTACACATGGTGGGGGGAGCGACGTTCACGATGCTGCTGTTTCTCGGGGTCTTGTCTAGAGAATGGGTAGAAGTCAGCAATGTCATCTATGGAATCTGTGTCTGCATAAACAAGTTTGAACAGTCACATGATGAAATGACAGCTTGACTGACAATGTTAGAAGAAATATTAACTCAAGATATTTTAAACCATTGGGTTTTCTTAAATGTGTTCCTGACAAGCAGCAATAGATAGGTATCTGTGACTGACCTGCTACATCATAAATTGCAAAATACTTTCTTCATGGTTTATCCTTAAATTTGAGATTTCATTTGCTGTGTTAAACAACTGACAATCTATTCTTACTTCTTAAATATATACAATAACCTTAGCTGCACCAAATGATCTAGTCTGTCTCACAGTCCCTGAGCCATATTATTTTCCCCTCTGCCAAGCCCCTACTGTAATGCTGTAGCTTTAAATGAAGCAAGTCTAGATTTTCCACAGGCTCTGAATCTCCTATGTTACTAGGCCTCTTTACAAATTATCTATTTTCAGAGACAAACAATTAGTCTACAAATGAACATGAACATTTAATTACATAAGAAACATGTCATATCTTCTTGAATCAAGCACCTGCTTTCTTTTCATGTTTCAATTCCCATCCATCATAGATTTGTATAATCTCATAACTACTCATTAACATGTGTGATGAACCAACAAAAATATTTCAAATGTATATCTAGTCTGACAACACCCACAACAGGATTTGTAACAGAATCTTCAAACTGAACTGTCCAAACTTGAGGTACAGCTGAGCAAACATGCCTTTTATCATGTAATGCTAATTACAAAAAGTTAAACAGAAGCTTCAGAATCTGTGTTCATCTTTTGAACTAGCAAATAACCTAGTAAAGAGCAAAAATTAAAATGCAAAAATTTAAACATGCTTTAAAATCAACCAAATATCCTGAGAATTATTCCCAGAAATATCCACCTTTGAAGATATTGCATATATGTGAAAAAAACTAATTAAATCATGAATTGGTTTAAAAACATGATGAAAGTTAAACATATGTCAGACTTGTCATGGGTGGGCCAACCTTATTCCTGGATGTCATGGGGACGTATGGGAGGTGTTACTGATGAAAATATTTCAAAAGGGGAAATGATGGGGAAATGATCTGAAATGTTAACAAGTGCGAAGGAAGAGTACAGGCTTCCCCTCTCTATTGAGGTCCCACCCACCTGTATGGTACACACTGTACTAAATCACTCTATGATTAGATTTGCCTTAACTTTATGGCCAACCAATTGCCTATTTAGAGCTCTTTGCAAAAGAATATTAGCTCATCTTTGACAAAGAGGGTGGAACAAGATGGAAGTCATTGGAGGGTGGCGAAGAAATACCTCAATTATTAAAATCAATTCTTGCTAAACAGTGGCAGAATTCCCCTTAAACTTCCTGAAACGGGACAATGTAATGAATGACTTCTTATGAGTGTAACCTTCACTGGGCACTGAGTCGTGGTCTCTCTTACAGTCAGGTAACAGGATGATGTGTCATTAAATTCTGGTTATATATGATTGTTATCACCTGTTTCACAGGCATAATGCATTACGGATATTAGTTAATTCTCAAGCAAGACATCTGAAATATGCATGTTCTAAAGGTGAACAAATTTTGCCATTTGGGATCAGAATTTTCAGTTTTGGATATCTAAATAATAGTAATGTGCTTTCATGAAATGTGTTTTTTACATATGTCTGAGGTTATTTTTTGCTGTGTTATTACAAATACTTTTTGAACAATTTTGGAGGAATATCAGTAGAACAGTAAATAATAAAACATATTATTAAAACCAAATCTCAATATCCCTTAAGATATTTACTTACAAAATATTTATCTCGATACACCCAAGGATGATATGCTTCTAAGACCTCTTCATGTATCTATCTCATATCTGTCATTCAGTAACAAACCAATAAAGTTCGTACTCAACTTTTCAAAGCTGTACTTTGAAAAGGTCAAAAGTATATATTTAGTTTATCATGTATAAAATGTCTGATAACAAATATTAATTTTAGGAGCTGACAAGGCTAATGACTTAAAGATATCTGCGAGGTAGTTTCCTCAATATTATGTCCAGATAAACTAGATGGTGGATACAAAGTCATACAAACTGATGTTGGTGTTAATTCTATTTTCTTTAACAAATTGCATTTGAAGACAAACAACACTTCCATATGAGTATGTCTTGGGGTTTGGGCCACTTGCAGCAATATCGATCTGGGGTACACAAGAAAAGGGCTTCACATATTGTACCCATTTGGGAAATCAAACTTGGACCTTTGGCATAAAGAGCAAACGCTTTAACCACTAGGCTATCTCACCACCCCATATGTCTCAGAAACATATCTACACAACTAACATGTGAAACTATTATCCTTTGGTGACCATATTCTGCAGTAACCATTCTCATCAAAGGCCTGACAAACTTATCTTCATAAATGTTATTTCAGTAGCAGTTTCTTGATATCTAATAATGATAAGTGCCTTAACGGGACCTAATTTGGGAATCATTTAATCTGAAAACGCGATTTTACCTTTTGAAAATGAACATAATCATCATCACTCACTAATGACAAAACCCAATGTTGAACTCCCATTACTACTGGTTGATATGAGATTTATTCCCTAGCTTATAAATATATCAGGACTGAATCTCAGGAGTAATGAATTACGAGTCTCATCAAATAGTCCCAGTTTCCATCAGTGGAGAGAAAATGATTAGAAGATTGATGAGGTTAGGGCAACCTAGTCATGTCTTAAGCAACGTATGCTGTGATGTGGAATTAATGAAAATGTGGTACTCAAATAGCGCTTCAGTGCACCAAGAGAGAGGTCAGCACACTGAATGTATGGAGGGAGGATTAATATTAATCAATGTCAAATACTACAAACAAATAGAGAGAATCACAATAAGCACATTTGAAGACATGTTCTACAATTTCATTAATTAAACAGGGATACACAGGAAACTGGACATACATTTCAATTTATGCTGAAAATGAAGATTTGTTGAAGAATAACAGAGATGCCACTTTCGGCAATATTCCAGTAACATCACATGGGGGGGGGGGGGGGGAGGAGAGACACCTGAAATGGACTTCACATATAGTAATCGAACCAATGCCTTCAACACTTTACTACAACTTGTACAAGGCTAGCCCACTGCACAGCATAGGTAGAATATTATACAATCTTATATCATTTCTACAAGGCAGTCCCCCAATTGTGTGGATAGATGCTCATGATATCAATCACTGGATGGTCTGGTCCTGACTCGATTATTTACAGACCGCTGTCATATAGCTGGCATATTGCTGAGTGCGGCGTTAAACAACACACAACAAGGCAGTCCAAACCCTGATGGTGCTATGAGAATTCATGAACTACTCTGAAAAGCCTGGTCTACTGAGGCAGTACCATCTTGGTGAGCAATGTATGTGGGCACAGCTCTTAGAGTGAGTGAGTGAGTTGGGTTTAACGCCAATTTTAACAGTATTCCAGTTATATCGCGGCATGTCAGCTTAATGTGGGAGGAAAGCCCGAAGTGATGCAGGTCTCAGACGTTTACCACTTCGGTGAAACCCACGAGCACGGGTATGGTGCTGACAAACCTAGAAACATAATCGGGGCGAACCGGGATTTGAACTCACAATCTGGCGTGCCCAAGGGACGCAACTCTGCACAGCGAATCATGGTGCTTCAGACAACTGGGCCACCCGTGCCCCCCACAGCTCTTAGAGAAGGAGAGGTGCATGATACCATGTCAACATGTAACTACCAGGCAACATGTAACTACCTGTGTTATTTGTATCAAAAAAAATTACATCAAATGAATTGGGTAAATTTTTGAAATATGTTAACACTTATACTAGCCAAATATTCCATATATCCTTTAATGTGCCAATGTAAAAAGCTTCGAAAAAAGCAACAATTAGAGTTCCCCCAAAAATCCAGTCTCTTCAAATACCAAGGTCCATGTGATGCTGATTTCAAGATCTAATAATGAGAATGGTTGCCATATTAAGACCTGGTATGTTAGTAGAACCAGTTGTTAGTACTCACAGTCTCTGGCCTGGTGGTTGTGCAGATTATGATGAGGGAGATGGTCAGTCTTGTAGATGATGTGAGGTAGTTTGGTCCCTGAGTTATCTCCCTTCCTGATGGCTGCAGGCATAGGCTCAACCACATAGTCTTCCTCAGGCAGGCGCAGGATTCCAGTCTGGAGGAGAACAGTTCATGTCAGGGGTTGCAGATTAGGAGTGAGTGAGTGAGTGAGTGAGTGGGCTTGAGTTTTACACAGCTTTGAACCAGGGATCCAAAATTATTTTTGGCCAATTGGACACTTGTATTTTGGTCATGCCCACCTCATATTTGACAGTTACTGGTGGACTTTCATGTATGGAAACAATGAGTTTTGATGTTTTTTTCCCAATGCAAACTAATGCAATGAACATGTAACACCCGAAATGCCATGTCAACAAATCCGTACTGAGTTTTATCCTGGTATTGCACTTTCTGGTCATAAAAAGTATTCATTGAATACCGTAGATGGACTTATGTTTGTAATCTATTTTATTACATTTATTCAAAATTCCATTTAATATTGATTCCACATTTTATGCGAAGTGACTCACTGTTATTTACAGCAACCATGGTCAGATTACTGATATCGATGCCTTGAAATGAACTTAGTTGCCAGAGAATGGACACATACCATATTTGACATAATAAGCGCCCTGCTCTAATAAGCGCCCACGGCAACATTTGCTAAGATATTGGCTAGTGAACAATCCCAATTAGCACCCCTTCCAATTGATCAATGTACACAAGACTTATTTATTCGTGTATAATACACACACGTGTGTTATATGCACCCTTAATTATGGGCATTTAATTCTGGAAAATATATCTGTTGTACATAAACATTTCAGGCTGTCAGCATAAACCACAAAATTTATCTTTCAACTCTGTTTTTTTCACCAAAATAACATTCTAATAAGAGCCCCCTATTTCTAATTTTGAGAGCACCCTGGGCGCTTATTACGTTGAATACGGTATATCATAAATGCCACACTTTGACTCATTCAGTCATTTCGGCAATAGCAATCAGTTGTTCCAAAGTGCTACTCTTATGGTTATTATTATTTTAAATACATAGGGTAAAAGTTGCAATTATTGTGTGTTTATCAACCAAATCTCTGGTAGATTGGTAGAAAATGTGTGTACACTACTTCCGGCTTAGTCTACAAGAAAATAAACATGGTAATCTTAATTTTGTTGCATATAAAACAATGCCTAGCAGAACAGGAAATACAATTTAAATGGTAAGTCATCTCGTCTATAGATATTGTATCTCAAATTTCTCATTTTATTTTTTATCGGTTTCCAGATCCCTGCTTTGAACAAAATTTCAGTAATTTCACGGCATGTCGGCTAAATGTGGGAGGAAAGTGGAAGTGATGCAGGTCATCGATGCTTACCACTTTGCTCAAACCCATGGGGTATGAAGCTACAAAATCATAATCAGGGATAACTAAATCCTGGCAAAAGGAAGGGACAGAACTCTGCGCAGCAAACTATGGTTCCACAGGCTACGTTCAACTATTTGATCCTCAATTGGCAGATTGCAAAAATATTACCTGGATTTAGGATTTTTAATAGTAAATATGAAAGGTATGAAATATCTCCAGCCTAACTGACCAGTTCCAAACCATAAACAATTTGTTGCATTTACCATGCTCTCTTTATGCACTGTTCATTCAAGTCAAGAGTCAACAGTCAGCCAAATGTTAACCTACCCTATGCCTGAGTAGGTCTATTACTACAACCAGTGACTGGGGGTCTGGCTGCCTGTCACTGGGGTAGGCCTGTATTGTATCAAGACAGCCCAAGGCTAATGTTTCTATAACCTGCCCTGACTTCACAACAACATATTCCACTGGCTTCATTAGTCAATATCACTGCATGACCTGCAGCAGACTGACCTGTAGTCATCAGACTGGTACTTTGTTGAGAAGCTTTACATGGAGGTGGAGGTGGACCTGTACAGTCAGACTGGTACTTTGTTGAAAAGCTTTACATGGAGGTGGACCTGTACAGTCAGACTGGTACTTTGTTGAGAAGCTTTACATGGAGGTGGACCTGTAAAGTCAGACTGGTACTTTGTTGAGAAGCTTTACATGGAGGTGGACCTGTACATCTGGGCGGTACTTTGTTGATAAGCTTTAAAAGGAGTTGGACCTGAAGTGTTCAGACCGATACTTTGTTGATAAGCTTAACATGGAGGTGGAGGTGGAGGTGGACCTGTACAGTCAGACTGGTACTTTGTTGATAAGCTTTACATGGAGGTGGAGGTGGACCTGTACAGTCAGACTGGTACTTTGTTGATAAGCTTTACATGGAGGTGGAGGTGGACCTGTACAGTCAGACTGGTACTTTGTTGATAAGCTTTACATGGAGGTGAACCTGTACATTCACATCGGTACTTTGTTGATAAGCTTTACATGGAGGTGGACCTGTACAGTCAGACTGGTACTTTGTTGAGAAGCTTTACATGGAGGTGCACCTGTACAGTCAGACCGGTACTTTGTTGAGAAGGTTTAAAAGGAGTTGGACCTGAAGTATTCAGACCGATACTTTGTTGAGAAACTTTACATGGAGGTGGACCTGTACAGTCAGACTGGTACTTTGTTGAGAAGCTTTACATGGAGGTGGACCTGTACATTCAGACCGATACTTTGTTGAGAAGCTTTACATGGAGGTGGACCTGTACATTCAGACCGATACTTTGTTGAGTAGCTTTACATGGGGGTGGAGGCGGACCTGTACATTCAGACCGGTACTTTGTTGAGAAGCTTTACATGGAGGTGGACCTGTACAGTCAGACTGGTACTTTGTTGAGAAGCTTTACATGGAGGTGGACCTGTACAGTCAGACCGGTACTTTGTTGATAAGCTTTACACGGAGGTGGACCCGTACAGTCAGACCGATACTTTGTTGATAAGCTTTAGAAGGAGTTGGACCTGCATCAACTTTGTAACAAGGGAAAAATAACTGTCCAGAAGTCTTTAATGAGCACATATTACTTTACTGATACAAGACATGAACAATTGTAATTCATCTTATATGTTACAGGACCTGTGGGGAGTCCAGGACAGGATATAGGTCCCCATGCTTGTCGTAAGAGGTGCATCGGATGGTCAGATTTAGTGCCTTGGTTGATGGCATGTCATTGTATCCCACTTGTGAGGATCGATGCTCATGTTGTCAATCACTGGATTGTCCGGGACAGATTCAAATATTTACATACTACTATCATAGACCTGGAACATTGCTGAGTGCAGCAATAAAGAACAAACAAAACAAAAATATATGTAACTGGCATGGGTGCTGACAGAGTTTTATGGCATTGTCCCAATTTCTTCAGGATAGAACATTCAAAAGCTCCCTTCTTTAGTATAAATATTCTAGGAGACCACAGGGTAGGCACACTATCTACCGGAACAACAAAACCCCACAGGGTTAAATTTTGATGACACAAACAATTTCACAAATATCCTCTTTCAGTCTGTCATGCCATCTTAGAACACACAAGATATGATCACCATACCAACTAAAGCATGCCCAAATTAATCTTCATTAGACCCAATCGACCAATGCCTGAGTCTTAATTACGCTAATCAAGTCACGAAATTCTGCCGCCTCAGCAGATTCCATGAAAGCACCCAGTGAAGGTAGAAATGTTGTTCAGTGTGTAACGGTTGGATCAGCTGGGAAGTGAACCAGGTACTGACCCTGTCTGGAAACAGTGTGGCACTCATGAATCATTTGGCAGATTTAGATGTTACACAGGTCCCGTTGGAGGTGCCACAGGGAAGTGACTACTGTCGGTTAAGTTACTATTTGGATGATACCCAGGTTTCCCATGCTACACATGGGGTATGTTGCATGTCAGGTAACCAGACATGTCATTCATAAAGCATATGGAAAACTACCCTGACTTGAAGCAGGGGTCACTGAAAGACATAATTTGTATCAACACACTCATTATTAGTAAGTTGTCGGGGAGAAAAGTCACTGATACAGAAGAAAGCCTAGCCTGAATTCCAGTCTGAGGTTCATTTCAGAACAAATGTGTGTTAACATTGATGCTAACACTGTAGCGTGCAGCATGCTCACATGGCATTCAGGTCATATTGTCTTATTGTCATTGTGTATTAAGCGAATACATCTATGATCCATGTTCACAATGACTGGATTAAAATAACATCTGTGTCAACTGAGTGAGTGATTTGGATTTAACGCCGCTTTTAACAGTATTCCAGTTATATCATGGCGTGTCAGCTTAATGTGGGAGGAAAGCCCGAAGACGTTTACCACTTTGCTGAAACCCACAAGCACGGGTATGGTGCTGACAAACCTAGAAACATTAATCAGGGGGAACTGGGATTTGAACCCACAATCATAGGTTTCTGACGTGCCCAAGGGACACAACTCTGCACAGCGAATCGCGGCGCCTTAGACGACTGGGCCACAATTCTGGAAACTAGTCAGGCACATGTGTCCATTTCTTAATTCACAAATGTGAATTCAATTTTTCAAAAACTACTTTTGGCAGTATAAAACAGGAAGGGATGATAGTTCCACATTAAACAGCTCAGAAGCATTGTTCTCACAAATAACAGCCCACAGTGTCAGTATTAAGTATCTGCCCCCACATGTATTCAGCCAGGCAGGGCCCTTAATGCCCCCTGATCCAGTAGTTACAGAGTGTTTGTTTCCTTTTGTCCACAGTGGACATTGCCCTGTCATCTCTTCCAATCCTCTCCATCATTCTTCAGCACCTTTCTGTTTTCACAACAGAGCCTCAATCAGTTTCAACACCAAACACTATTTGTAATTTGAAGCTGCACTGACATTGTGTAAAACCAGATAAGTTCCAGAGAAGAGCAAATGTTCCTTAGTATAAATGTTATATCCTTATAGTATCTGCTAAGTTTTAATATAATAATTAGACCCACAGCAAGTGATTTTATAAGTTATCATGATAATACACTGATGGTTTTGTGAATTGGTACAGCTGTACTCAGATTCCAAGGCCAAACACAAATATGGCCAGGTGAAGTTGATACAATAATTGAGCCTTAAAAAATACATTCCTGTAGATGTAGTGACCAAGATGACAATAACAGTCACCACTGTGTCCCACAGTCTGGTCAT